AGTGTTTCGCGTCAGCAATTTACCCTTCTTTCCTTCACTAAACGCAATATACACTCCAAACTTATTCATGGCGCACATAAAGCTCTTGCCACTCTCACCCGCCTCAATACATTTTTTACGTATTCCTCTTCAACATCCTCACTCTTTAACCCCCCCCCCCCAAAGCGACGGCCTGTATTATACACGTTTTGTAGAGAGAGCTTATCCTGTATAATACAAGATAAATGGTGCATGAATGATCTGCTAGTTTTGCTCCTTATTTTTGTATACGGTCATACAAACGCTAAGCCAGAGAGGGATAGGTATGTGAAGCCTGATCCCCATCCTTCCTGGATCCGTGTGCGCAGGCGGGCATTGCACAATTTTTCATAACATAAAAGTTTAGAGGAAACTCAGCGATATGTGGTTCACGCCAAATAAATATAAGAAACTGCAGGGATTTTCAACGTCACTCGTTTTGGCGCTCATTTCAGAAAATTCCCGCTTCCAGTTAGATGTCGGGGTTTCGGGCCCGGTGGAAGGAACTATGCGGCGAAGTAGCAATTAGCGGTGCACTGGACTGAGATTGCATTGGAGAGCTGGAGTGCGTCTGTTGTCGTACTTGGGTGGTTGAGAGTGGCTCTTCACGCACTGTACTAACTGCATAATACACGATAGTGTTAGACAGGTACGGTGTAATGTACAGGCGCTGTAAAATATACCTGTTGGAGGTGTAGTAGCGTCATCAGGTGGCTTCATCGTCTTGGCTCGAGGATCCGTGTGTGGCGTCGTTGGTCTGTCGTTCATCTTCTTTTTACCTCGCAAGCTCATCTATACACGCGTCAACGGTTAGACTCAGGTTTTCAATACATCATTAGAATAAACAACTTACCAAGGTCTAGTCGATCCAAATACGACATCAGCTCCTTCTCCCCTACAAAGAAGTCTATTCCGCGCACGTCTGTCTTGCTCTTACCGGGCGCTTCAGATAGGTGTGGTCATTTGAGAGGCCTGTAGGAGGCTTGGAAGACCAGCCTTCCTGCCGTATGAAGCTGACGACGATATCGATGATTTATTTTCTTCAAGTCGAGAAACACCTGGTACGTTTACTGTGCCATCCATATCATTCGGAGGTGGTGTAGCTAACTCTTTTGAACGTTGTATTTTTCCAGCTGTGTCAACCACTTCAAGGCGCAATCTGTACGAGCTGTTTGGGTCTTCAGATGAGTCGGATGACTCTAACGACTCTCCGCAAAGTCCCACAAATGTGCAACAGTCCGCAGACGGCGATCGCGTGGACGCGGCATCGAACGCTGCGTTTTCCTGTTCGTCTTTATCTGGTAGGTTCAAACGTGTATGTACACGATATACAATTCCTATGTATGCATGATACACATACACGATAATAACAACTATCATGTATATTTTTTAACAGACGATGTAATGCCCGGTGATGACAAGTATATCTTTGCAAGTCTTGATTCGGACGAGGAGGGGGGAGGATTCTCTGTATACGACGATGATGAGGAGCTGGAGTTAGCTGAGCCTGATCCCAGCATTGAAGATGAAGATGTCGTCCCACCTGAGCTTCCATTTGACGCGTCTCTACTTGAAGCAGTAGGTGGTGCTCACGAGATTGCACGTGGCAACCTCAAAGCTGATGTTTTCGCAGACATGAAGGAGAACGAGTGGTCTCCAGTACACAATCAGACGCCTTACCCATACATGGATGAACCCTACGACATGCGTCGCGATGATTGGGCAAATATTGACTATCCGGATCTCTTTCGCGGTGAGCATGGACCAACTGCTGCAGCGTTGAGCACTGCCGAGACCCCAGTTGGTGCATTTTTTCCGCCATACTTACTAGAAAGAATTGCGGGTGCTAGTAACGACTACTTTATGGAGAACCTGGACGCGCGAGTGGAGAGTCTAACGCCAAGCAGCTAGATCGGAAGCTGAAAAGACCTGATTTTCAAGTCTCACCTCCGGATATCATAAAGGCTAAGCTGCTGAACACGAAGAACAATTCAGGACGAGAAAATGCTATTTTTCTTGGATTACTCATTGCGAGAATGATAGCTCCCAACAAAGAGAGGTTTGATAACCTTTGGAAGACTACCGATGAAGGTGCTATTTCTCGTGGCTGTTTTAACGCATTTATGACTAGAGATCGCTTCTATCATATATCGCGGAATCTCCATTTTAGCAGCAATGCTGACGCAAGAGCGCAGACCGATCGAGCTTGGAAACTCTGCCCGGTGATTGACGTGCTGCAAGAAACATTTCAGGCCAGTTTCATCCCACCTCCAATAACGGCATTTGACGAAGTGATGCTTCCGTGCACGTCTCCGTTCGATAAGATGAGAATCTTCATGAAGGACAAGCCCCATCGCTGGGGCACAAAGCTTTTTATGCTGTGTTGTTCAAAGTCTGCGTACTTCATCAGGTAAGGAAAAGAGCGTGCCCGAAGGCACGCTCTTTTTTTTGTTTCAAAGTTACCTTATCGTGTCTTCGGCGTGCTAAAACCTTATGAACTATTGTGTATATTACAGGTTTGAAGTCTATTGTGGAAAGCAACAAATGCAAGACAGTTGCACACCCAGTGATGAAAACTCGGGACCTGCTGCAGTCATACGGACCTTACATCAAGTCTTCGGCGTCAACGGGCCAACAGAGCGACGTCTCATAGTCACCGACAGGTTTTACACCTCTGTCGTGTTGGCAATGCAGCTGCTGACCATGAACTTCTACAGTTTGGGCACAATAATGACGAACAGGAGGGGGCTGTGCAAAGCAATTCTCCCAAAGAAGACTAAGAACGGCAGGAAAGAATCAAAGAAGCGACCAGCACACATTGTCAAAGGAACGTATGCCGTAGCCACTCTCCAAAAGGTGCCATCGATCAAGGCCGTCCGTTGGTGGGATAATCAAGCGGTGTATCTGCTTGCTGCTGGAGGAAGTGCAGTACCAGACCGTATCGTGCGTAGGAATCCAGTTGCTGGAGAGCAGACGGAGTTATTGTGTCCACGAATCGTTAAAGACTATCAGACTTTCATGGGCGGTGTCGACGTTCACGACCAGTTGCTTTTACAACGGCAAGTATTCATATCCTGTACATACACATTTGAGGCATCGTTTTAACATGTATTGTACGTATTGTTAGGTATTCACTGCAATTGGCTCGGCGCTATAAGAAGTACTACAAGTCTCTTTTTCTGGGACTGATAGACTTGGCTATCGTCAATGCTTTCATCGTGCACAATTACCATCGCGCGACAACCGGGAAGCCAAGGGTTTCCCACGTGACTTTTCTGAAAACGCTTCATCTACAGCTCTGTCAGTTGCTACTGGAAGATTGGGTGCAGCTTCTTTCCCGCCGCGGGCATCACGCGACGCCAATGCGGGCACGACAAGCTCGAGCGGCGCACACGCCTGTACAGGCCGACGAGTAGCGCAAAGGAAACTCCGATAAGACGAGAAAGCGTAGACAGCGTGCGTGCAAGGTTTGTTCGGTGCTAAAAGACGCTGCCACGTCTCGAGGAGGGAAACGACATTATTCTGCGCTGAATGTAAGCTGAAAACAAAATCAAGACACGAGTTAGCCGCACGTGTATTCCTCTGCAACAAGGTGAAGCATTGCAGCAAAGGCGAGCCTACTTCGTGCTGGGATGCCTGAAATTAACGCTGGAAAAATGGGACTTTGATCCCTCAATCAGGACGCAAGCGCAAAATTCGAGCCCGGAAGCTCGCACGAGCTGCAAGTGACGGTGGCTCTGATGCCAGCGACTCGGAGTCGCAGTCTAGAGCTGAAATCGGAAGTGTTTCCTCTCAGGGTCGTTCGGGCCGGCGGCCACACACCAACGATGACGGCAGCTAGTGAGATCGTCGTCAGAGCACATGTTCCGGCTTCAAAAATAACTTGATTAGAATAAATGTTTTTCGTGCAGATCGCCATGTGGAATCCTTTTTTAAATATCGACAAAAATATGACCCGTCACTCCCCGCTAGATGTGTTTTTGTACAAATGTTGTGTTGTCTTTGTTCACTCAGGACACGATATCAGCGTTATCGCGTACAATGCAGACATGTTAGTATGATACACGATATCGAGAAATGAAGACCCTAGGGGTGGGGCGCTGTACCGACTCTGCTAAATACACGGTAAAATATAGCTGGGTCTTACTATTGTAACCCACTATCCATAACGTGTATGGGGTTTCGGTAAATAGGCGCAGCGAATTCCGCTCGCTTTGGGGGGGGTTAAAAACTTGGGAAATGCTGCGGCAGCAGTTGCCTTAGCTCGCAATATTTTCCAGAGTTGCAATATCTCCAAACCCATCGTGATGATCCAATAAAATGGATTATGAAAGTGATACATCTACCACTTGACAATTGAATGAACATACACATATTTTAGAGTTTCATCGTACTTGATACGTCCGATTGGTGAATCACCTAGACCTAATATATGTATATTACATTGGATAAAGTACTGTAATGCTTTGGATTTACTGTGATTGGCTGATGATTTTTGCTGGCAGGTAATTGGCAGTATATACCCATACAAAATTCAAAATTGGTTCGATAATTATTGGGTGTAAGGTGAAGATCTAGCTTAATCCTGGAAATACTGCTTATCCTAAATTTTGAGTTGTAATTACTGGGTGTAAGGTGAAGATTGATCCTGGAAATACTGTTTATCCTAAAGTTTGAGCTTACAGCTTCGAACTTCCGTCCGAAGCTGTAATGTGCTGAAATTTTGACCAAGTGCCGCAATAACTGTATTTTGATATGAAGAAGAAAAGCAGCATTTCACCAAGAAGCACCACAAAGTTTTCTTGCAATGGAAATAACTATTTTTTTAAACTTGCGCTAAGCTCAGTATCTAGCAAATTCTACATGTAGTGGGGGCCCTTGTCAGAGGAGCAACCGCGGTGTGTTTTTTGTTAGTGACGGGCACAACCTTATAGCTCTAACCGCTTTAACAACATCGAAACACACAACTCCACCAGAATTTCTTACGAAAGCTGCTTACCAGAACGGAACGTACGAAAGAGCTTGTCCCAAAGCGAAAATCTTTTAGCAAAATTCCAACGCGGATGAGTGTGATGCAGGTCGTGATCATGTACGCGGAGACAAATACCTGTAATATTGTTCACCAACGGCATCTGCGGGAACGAAAAGCCTTTGATGTCCAGTCCGGAGTGGCCGGCGACTTCCACGTATGTCTTGTATGCAAACAGCAGATGCAGCTGAAGATCCGAGAAGGAGAAGCCGAGACTGCACGCCAAACAGAATGGCAGAGCATTAGTCAGGCACAAATCGAAGCCGTCTTGCTCGTACGTCGATAGAGGACACGGATGCAAGTGGAGGTGGTGCTGTTTGTGCACATTCTTGTAGAGCCATGTACTGTAGTGGCACAGCCAGTGCATCGCGAAGTGAAAGAAGTCGAAGGTGATCTCAAACACTAGCGACTTGGGGATGAACATAGCGTATTCCAGTACGAAAGACAGCCAAGTCACATTATCTCGCAATGGTACAGCAGTCTGGTCTGCGAGCCAGAAGGAGATACACTCGGTAGGCACTACCAGCCATAGGATGCGGAGGTAGATGGCTGTGACCTGCTTGTGTGTGAGCTTCACTCGCTTGTAGTCGTCGATCTGCGACTTCTTGGTCGCGATCCACTCGAACCACTTGAGCATCACCAGAATCCGCAACAGACTTACCGCGTAGACCACTACCAGCTGCACCAATGTTTCGGGAGACTCAGCTTCTCGATTGAGAGAACCCACAGCCAAGTAGCTGCTCAGAGCGACGCTGCAGATGAATGCATTGATGAATGCGTAGTATTTACACCGCCGAGCGATAAGCTGAAGCGTGAAGGCAGCGGGCGGAACCTCCATCAGAAGCTGGACAATTGCGCAGTGACAAAAATGACAGGCGCACAATCTTCAGGGAAAGAGTAGGTACCGACTGGTACAGGCGCACACGTCACAACACTGAACTTAGGCGACACATTGACGCACTTCAGCGTGTCAATGTTCGGTTTGGATCGTCATCGTCTTCGGGAGCTCTGCAGACACGTGAGAGGCTAGAAAACTATCAATACAGAATGCCTCGCTTGTTACAAAGCTGGAGAGCGGCTTAAATCATCAATAGTTCCCAGTATGCAAGCTATGATGCTTCCTCGTAGGAATAACGTCGAGCGGGTATCTGCATTTCAAAGAATACTTGTTTGCACGTACATGTATTAATACCAGGTTCAGTAAATGATTCTCTTTCATTTAATATGTCGTTTGGCTGATACATGAGGGGATTCAGGAAGCACCTTAATACTCTCTGTCTTAGTTAATACTTGATTTGGCAGTGCCATTGGCAGTGCCATTGGAACCCCTTGATGATATTAATTTACAAGTGCCTGCGATTTTGTTGTAAGCTTATTCGAGGTTGCTCTTGCATTATACTAAGTGTCTCAGATGATTTATTTATCGGCTTATGAAGAAGTAACTTGTTAATTTATCGACGCCTAACTACATCTGCAACACTCACAAACATTAATTGAAGCAGCTTGCTGTCCCCGTCGTTTATTTCTCAGCACCTGTACCGACTATTACTTCACCAGCTTGATATTTGATATCATCCCATTTTTTTTAAAACAAAAAAATTTACGCTAACTATTGTAGGCTGATTATGGTATGTGGACCACGTGTGCTCTTCCAAATTTTATACTTGCCTTAATTAATAACGCTATATGACCGCCACGCCGTGATAATCATTTGTGGGAGCTTATACAATGTGGAGATCAACATTTTTCGCGTTCGCACAAATTCTCAGACCGGATCAAGAAAAAGCTCTCCAGTGTCGCGATCCGTCACCTCGCCACCTCCTTCCCGTCGTATCCAGCATCTTTTGAACGCTCACCACCTGTGTATTTTCTACACCATCGTCTCTCCATTCAACTCAAACTGATTTTATCCCAAATTGTGCCATGAACGAGTCGCTACTCGCCGCCAACGATGATCATCTCGCGCACGCGGAAGAGGAGGACGAATTGCTCTGGAATGAACTCAAGGACGATCACCGTGCGCCCCCTTTTGGCGGAACAAGTCGGCCAGATTCGGCTCAAAGCGGCCATGGGGGCAGCTCATCCCCGGGGGCTCCACAGCTTCCATCACTGCGAGTCAACGTGCACCTTCCCGCCATCTCGACACTGTTCCGTGAGGTGCTGGACACGGCTAAGGCGGCGCTTCCTGGGGCTCAACGTCGATCCAACGGACAGGGTGGGGCCCCAGGTCACGGTCGTGTATCGCCCGTTCCCGACCGCTATGGAAACGTGGCCAATCTGGACGCATTCCTCATCACTCTATACAACTACTACTACCACAAGGGCTTCTGGAGCATTGTGGTGGTGGAGCTGGTGAGTCTAGTAACTGGACTGTTCAGCGTTGTGCTTTCGAGCTTTCTTCTCGGCTGTGTGCAATGGGGGCCGCTGCTAGAGTGCCACAGACACCCCGAGAGTGGAGGCTGTGCACAGGAAATGGAGAAATACATCACGTGCAGAGCAGATAATAACGGACTCTTGGGGCTCATTGGGGCCTTCTACTTTGCCATGTTCTTGGTGTACTGGGTCTCAAGAGCTTTCCAGCTAGTAGGGACACTGAGAGACACTCGAGCGATGGAGGTTTTCTACAAGGAACGACTCCATATTGACGAACGACAAGTGCAGACCATAGCGTGGGACGAAGTGGTGACGAGAGTACTGGATCTAGTGAATGGGGCCAACGCTCCGGTGAACATGCGCCAGCTCTCGTCCTACAAGCTCCAGATTGACCCAGCGCTGCTCTCGTCGCCTCACGACTTTGCTCGACGCATCATGCGACGTGATAATTACCTCATTGCCTTCATGAACCACTCGCTGTTTCAAAGCAAGAATTTGCTGCCAACCTCCTTACAATTCCTATCTACGTCGCACATTATGTGCTCAAGGAACATGGAGGCCAATCTGAATATCTGCCTGCTGGATCAAATGTTCGACGCCGAGTTGAATCTCGCTCCGTCTGTGATTCACAACGTGGAGATGCTCAAGAAACGCTTCGTGATCGCAGGAGTGCTCAACTTTGTGCTCGCGCCCTTTATTCTGCTGTATCGACTGTCGCGTTTCTTCTTTTTAGCGGCGCAGGAGTGGCAAACGAACCACGTGTACTACTTCGGCACGCGTCGTTGGTCAGCGTATGCGATTTGGCGGTTCCGAGAGTACAACGAGCTTCCTCATGTTCTCGATGCACGGATGGCGCGCTCGTACTCGCTGGCGGACCGTTACCTGGGCATGTTTCCAGCTGGGGCGCTTGCAATTATCGCTGGAGGAGTTTCCTTCTGTGCGAGCTCGTTGATGGCTGTTCTACTGCTCGTGAGTCTGTTGGAGGAGTCGGTCCTGCTGCAAACTACGCTGTTCGGCCATGAATTGCTGTGGTATCTGACCATATCGACGGGTGTGTTCGCGTTATCGCGATCGTTTACGACGTCTGCGTCTCCGTTCTTGGTCAACGGAGATTGTGAAGAAACGATGATGCAGGTATCGGCGGAGACGCACTACTTTCCTAAGGAATGGCGGGGTCAGTGTCACTCGTTCGAGGTGCGAGACGCATTCACGGTACTCTTCCCTTACAAGGCTGTGCTCTTCGCGGAGGAGTGCGTGTCGGTCTTGTTGGCGCCGTATATCTTGTGTATCTCGCTTCCTCGACTTGCTCGCGAGATTTTGCTGTTCCTGCGCTCCCATTCGCTCGTGCATCCTAGTACTGGAGCTGTGTGCCGATTCGCAGAGTTCGACTTCAAGGAGTACGGCAACGACGCCAAGATGGAGAGCTCGTTCATTAATTTCAAGCAGAACCACCCGAAGTGGGTCGGTGCTCGTGAAGGAGAGGTACTTATGCAGCGTCTGGGCAAGCTGAAGGAGGAGGAGATGGAGAAGTCGATGCGGATGGGCGACACCATGATGTACAGCAGCCACATGTCGATGTCGCAGCAGCTTATGCAGTCTCAAGCCATCCAGAACGCAATGGGAGGTGGGCGGATGAGCGGATACATGCCTCAAGACAACGAGTTCTACTGGCTGGAGAAGGTTTGATACGTCTGGTTGTTAGCTGGTAGAGCGAGTACTGTACTTACGTTTTTTGTGTTGACCTCTTTAGCTCCATCAGCAAGGCCGACTGGGCGAACTGGACCTGGAAGGCATGAAAGGCAACCCCGCTGACAGTATTTCCATCTCGAGTCTTGGCTCTCCGTGAAGTGCATGCATGACAAGTAAAGTATCTTTATGTTTGCATTTCAATAATGGAACGGCGTTCATGGCACAAAAGACTCGCTTCCTGCTTGAATCGCACAGGTACAAGTAAGATCTTCCCCCTCTTTCTTACCGTAGTTTAGATTCATGAGCACCGAAGCAAGGTATCGAACAAGCGATATCGAACAGCAGTTCCTGGACCAGCAGCGAGTCCAGGAGGCAGGGACACGGAGTATGACTTGATACACCAATGAAGGGCGTTAGACGCTTTCAACAGAGCAGTAAGACGCTTCTCCAACAAGTTTTTGGAGCTTGTGCTTCTGCTGAGATCACATGGCGGGATGCCGTGAAGGAAATGTTCCTGAAAGGACATAAAGAGAGAGAGCGTGTAGTGAGGTTTTGTGGTCCATGTCTGCCGTACGTAGACATTCACTTACCGCGTCTTTGCCGTACACAATTATGTTCATGGACTCGCTCTCTTGTTCGACAGTCAAAGCGAACGAGTAAATGAACTCACTGGTGTTGCCAGACGTTGGTTTGCAGATTTTTTCGATATCGCTGGGCCAAATGCTACGGACGCGAGCGCAGCAGTGGAACTTCCGAGGGGCTTGAGAAGAACTGAGGATCTCGCGCAAAGGAGTCACCGGGATATTCTTCTGGATACGATCAGGAATCACCGTGATAACCTGCACGGGTCGGAGTCCGCCTCGGACAAGGTTCTCTGCTACAGAAGGGGCACGGATCTGGTCATTGCTGGCTGTTGTACTTAAGTTCGGTCTCGTCGTCAATGAACAACGTCGCTGTACATCCAACGCAAAGTCGGGCATCAACACGAAAGAGGTTACCTCTCGGAACCGCAGGACTTCTCTTCCTCCAGGAGCAACGGCAGTCCCTGGTATAGGTTCATCTATGCCGACTGCCAAATTGCGAAAGCGACACCAGTTTTTGAGCATTCCGTCGACGAAGCCCATCTCACGCACGACAGACCAGCACGATGACATGATGACTTCCTTCAATAGTCCGTAGGGAGGGACGGCAGCGCTTTTGTCCTGTAAGGCACGTATCAGAGCTCGATCTGATTCCGCTGCGTTACCTGAACCGTCCCAAACTGTTAGACGTACGGGCTCGTCACTGTCGTCCACATTCAGAACCCGCACCACGAGGTCAATAAACCCTTCTGCAAACCTCAGCTCCGATAGCAGCTTCGGCGCAAGAGAACATCCCTGAGGTAACGTATCATCCTCGGCTAAACTCTTCCGGGCCCATTTCCTACAGTTGGCACACGAAAGGGTCAACAAATCAAGTAAAAGTGTGTCAAGTGAACGCAACGTACAGGAGTTTCCGGGTTCGCTGATCATCAGAAGGCTTGAATGTCCATGTATCGGAGTTTGTCACTTGTTCGAGTGCACCGTTCGGCTGCTCTCGCAGAACAAGATACCGTGTTGCACGGGGTCTGCGCATACAAGCTCGCTGTTAGGAAATGCTTTTGAGGTCTCCGGGTATACTGCGACGATACTTGTGACAACTTACGAGCTAAGACCTTGAATTCTGTCTTGATATTGCTGAATTTTTACTTTGTGAAAGCGAATGATGTCACCAACATACTACACGACAAGCGGTAAGTTCCCAATTACTCGAAAGCTGGGAAACACATACTGCATATACAGTAGTATACCTTGATTTTCGGCATCTTCTCGATCGTCGGATAGAAAATGTTGATTTGGATCGCTGTTGCGCGTGTAGGGCAGCTCTCATCCGTCACACTCACAGTCATCTGCATAAGACATAAGGCCATTCTCAGTCATTCTTGTGGTGCCAAAGACAATTAGCTGACCTACACAAAAGTCTCGTCCGCTAGTTTTTTTGGGAAGCGTCATATTGACGACAACCCCGTAGATATCAGCGTATCCGTCTACTAATTCGGAAAGAGGCGAGTATCGATACGCTGGCGACGCTATTCTCGCGACCTCAAGTGTGCGTTTTCCATGGTTGGGCTTCTGCTTCACACAAACACAAAAATGTGTAGCCCAAAATGTGTTTCCTTCCATCGACTGAACCTTATACCTTCTTCGCAGGTGCGTGTACTTCACCACGGGGGTGTCTCGTTGGGGTGGCTACATCACAAACACATCTTGTCAGTCATAACTCGGAGTTTTTATTGCTGCACTAAATCCTTGTTACGTACCAGAATACAGATCTCTCGTTGTGCTAGTTTTGGACGGGAGGTAACGCAATTGATCCGACTCGGGCAGTCGTTGCGGTTCTTGGTATGCTACCTCAATGTACAGGCTATGTGGGAAATTAAACAATCGTGGTTTTCTCTCCAGCGTTTTCTTCAGCACGTTTCTCTCTGCGACGACGATACACTGCACGCGCTCCTCCGTCTCCGCTCCAGCCTCCCATTCCAACGCCACAAGGCCGCGTCCTTTGATCCGAACCTTGTACTACATTAACAAAACTTCAGCAATTATTTCTCTGTAGTACTAAATTGAAATTCGTTTTTCCAAAACTTACATGACGTTTCAGGAACTGCATTTTGGTCGCCCACTTGTCGTAGAAGAACACCAGACACGACTCGAACGTCGTACGTGCTTCGCCACATAATGGTTAAGGAAAACTTCAAAATAAAAATATTCGATGCATAAAATAAGCATGAGTAAAAGAGGATATTGTTCTCGACAACTATTGCCACCAACTGCGACGCGTCCTGTCCGCATGGCCCCACGCCCGGGCCAAACGTGACCAGTTCTCCACCGTCAGGAGAAGATTTAGTTACATCGCCAGACACCAAGCGCAGATACTGCAGCGGATATGCGCGCTTGACTGAGCCGTTGACGAAGCGCTCGCCGCTGACTATCTCCATCACTTTGGAAAAATGGCGCCAAAATTGGAAAAAGAAATACTGAAGAAAAAAAGTTTGTTAACAGTGGTTTTTTGCACAGTTTATGTTGCAGGCAAAAGGACCATTTTATTGAAAGGCAGGAATGTACAATAACATTACAGATTACTAACGGCGACGGCGCTCCTCATACTCTGCCTGGATCTCCTCGTTGGTCTTGCCAGCAGTCTCCGGCACCAACTTGAGCGACAACACGTAGAAGATGACGAGCAACACCGTGAAGGGCATGTAGCTCCAGTCGTCGAACTCGTCGGCCAGGTACGGGTAACCGACACCGACGATGAGGTTGCACAGCCAGTTGGCACCAATGCAAATGGACGAGGCGCTGGCACGCACCGAGTCCGGAAACATGTCGGCTGTCATGACCCAAACGAGAGGGCCGAGCGTAACACCGAAGACGATGACGTACAGTGCCGTGAAGACGATGGAGAGCGCCGACACATCTGCAAGGAAGGCGACGGTCATACCGATGGACATGACGACCATGCCGACAATGCCCCAAAGGATCATGTTGCGGTTGCCGAAGCGTGCGGCCAGTGCACTCGTGAAGAAGGCCGGCCAGATGTTGATGAAGTCGATGATGAGCGTTCCAACACGCGAGTCCGAGATACCGGCGTCCGAAAAAATGTTGCCAGAGTAGTAGAAGACAGCGTTGATACCCGATAGCTGCTGCGTGCACGAGAGCAGCAGCGCACCGAGAAACTGCAGGCGGTACTTCGGCGACCAAATGGACTCGACCGGCTCAGAAGAGAAGCCGGCCTCGGCCTCGCTGGGCTGCTTCTTGGGCTCAAGCCAGGCGAGAGCAGTCTGCACGTGCTCCTCGCCATACAGACGAGTGATGACCTGCTTGGCTTCCTCGCGACGGTTCTTCATGAGCAGCCACGCGGGACTTTCGACGGCCAGCGACGGCGACAACAACATGTAGATGCCAGCCAGCACGATGGGGAAACCGGCCATGTAACGCCATCCATCACCGCTGTCGGCGAAGAAGAAGCAGATGGCCGGCACTAAGATGCCGATGGTAGTGGAGATCTGCAGTCCGGAACCGAGTTGACTACGCAGGTGTGGCGGTGACAGCTCGTTCACGTACGCGCCGATGGTGCCGGTGGCGGCACCCGAGGCAATACCGGCAACGGCACGGCCGACGGCAAACGGCCAAATGTTGGAGACGACGGCCTGAATGACGGCACCGCCGATCATGAAGAAGCAGTTAAAGTAGAGCAGCTTCTTGCGGCCCATTAAATCACTGAAGTAGCCACACAGCAAACTGCCAACCATGGCGCCGAAGATCCAGGCGTTCACGGCGAAGGTCCACTCGAGCTTGGAGTGGCCACTGAACAGCGTGCATGTTCCTTCGACGACAGGACGCGCATTGCACTCGTCAGTGTTGTTGTAGTCGGAGAGATTGAGCTGCGAGGTGGACCATCCGCTCTGGAAAGGCTGCAGCAGAGCTAGAAGAACGCTGGTGTAGAGGATGCGGTTGGGCTTGATCTGGAGCGCGGCATTCTTCACGGCACCGTCAAAAGAGACGTCGGCTCCGGGTGTGGAGGTTTCGTTGTAGTTGCCGTCGGGGCGAGGCGACATGACTGGCTTGGAAGAGCGACGACGGTGGTGGTTTGTACGCTGCTTGTCCAAATGAAAAGTGAGCTAAAATCGCTAGCCTACTTCACTAGCTGCACTGGTTGAACTTGCTTTCGTAGATGGCGTGGCGGAGCCCAAAGATCATTCACTTTTCAGTTGTTGCTGTGGTGCTTCGCGTACAGGCACGAGTGCGCATTGACCGATCTGCACTGTCGCTGCATTCAATGTTGCAGTTTGCACTTGGCTGCATAGACTTGGCTACGTTCGATTCGATTCAGTGACTGAATCGGATTCACTCGACGTTACTGTGAACAAGGTGAGACTGTGACTCCACCTGGCACCAATACTGTTGTGCTGTGTTCTTACTCTTATAAAAGTGCACTGTATGGATACATACTCGCGCTCTGTTGAATTCACCACTAAGCTTACATGTACTTTAAAAGTTCCAGTGGAACCCAGAGCCTCTTTACTGAAGGATTACGGCAGATACAGCGCGAGAGCGTTCATCAGACTCGTCCATTTGATTTATTTCACATAGATCGGCCCTCTGTGACAGGAAGACGAGCTGATCTGAAGGCCAAACTTCAGCATTGCCAATGCCCCGAAAGTCTCGGTGCTTAATGAACACACGTTGAAATATTTAACTTGAATACTTCAAGTTGACTCGCAGTGACCCGTCAAATTGACGGCCAATGCCGGTCGTACAAACGGGGAGGGAAGACGTTGCAGCTCTTGCATTGTTACTGCCGGCCAGGCTGGCAGCCTGGCAGTCTGCAGTGCAGACTCTGCACCATTCAAGGCTTTTGCGCTTGAGCCTCAAGTTGAGGACTGTACTTCGGTACATCGTGCTAACAAAATACATGTACATGTAGATTGTGTTAAGCTAAATTAACTTCAGTACAGTGTACATGTACTGTACCAGTAGAATGATATTTGGTGTTGAAATGTGTCGACTATATAATAATACCATTGCGGTGCCGTTCGCACCGCGTGCGGCAAAGCCCCCATTAAGCCAATTATTGACAAATAAATATCAGACAAAATTGCTCGCTCTGAAACTGCAGTCCCCTTTTCAATAATCAATGCCGATAAACTTTGGTAAAGTCGGGACTATTTTGATCGATATTTGCACCGCTTCTGCGAATAAAACTGTCCGCCAGCGCAGTAAAAGTGTCCACGTGTGGACCCACAAGAGCATTTTTACATGTTCTGTAAATGGTATTAATTCATCTATTTATTCATGTACCAGTATTAATCATACTTTAAAAACTTTCCGGTTGTTGTCTTGGTCCACTTGAAGCTCCAGAGTCTGATCTATGCCAAATAAATCAACTTGCCGACGTTGAAGTGAGGCGAATGGAGCAAGGACTCTTTGAAGGAGCTCGAAACACTTGGTTTGCTGCCGTAATCGCATCATCTGGATCTGCCAAAACGTACGGACTTGCATGGATAAAATAAAACTTCTCCAGAGCTTGCAGTGCAAGCGCAAGTTGCACTGCCTCAGGAGAGCCGGCAATGACAGCAAGCAAGATTCATGCATTTTAGCAGCCCAATCAATCAAGAAAGAGCCACCTACATGTTTTGCCCCCCCCCCCTGGCCAAAACAGCCAACAGTACGGGTGATCCCAATACTATTTCCTTTATTGGTCCTTTGTCTGCGTGACCTTCTACTCTCCTCACTTTTCATTCGGACAAGCAGCGTACAAATTACCACCGTCGTCGCTCTTCCAAGCCAGTCATGTCGCCTCGCCCCGACGGCAACTACAACGAAACCTCCACACCCGGAGCCGACGTCTCTTTTGACGGTGCCGTGAAGAATGCCGCGCTCCAGATCAAGCCCAACCGCATCCTCTACACCAGCGTTCTTCTAGCTCTGCTGCAGCCTTTCCAGAGCGGATGGTCCACCTCGCAGCTCAATCTCTCCGACTACAACAACACTGACGAGTGCAATGCGCGTCCTGTCGTCGAAGGAACATGCACGCTGTTCAGTGGCCACTCCAAGCTCGAGTGGACCTTCGCCGTGAACGCCTGGATCTTCGGCGCCATGGTTGGCAGTTTGCTGTGTGGCTACTTCAGTGATTTAATGGGCCGCAAGAAGCTGCTCTACTTTAACTGCTTCTTCATGATCGGCGGTGCCGTCATTCAGGCCGTCGTCTCCAACATTTGGCCGTTTGCCGTCGGCCGTGCCGTTGCCGGTATTGCCTCGGGTGCCGCCACCGGCACCATCGGCGCGTACGTGAACGAGCTGTCACCGCCACACCTGCGTAGTCAACTCGGTTCCGGACTGCAGATCTCCACTACCATCGGCATCTTAGTGCCGGCCATCTGCTTCTTCTTCGCCGACAGCGGTGATGGATGGCGTTACATGGCCGGTTTCCCCATCGTGCTGGCTGGCATCTACATGTTGTTGTCGCCGTCGCTGGCCGTCGAAAGTCCCGCGTGGTTACTCATGAAGAACCGTCGCGAGGAAGCCAAGCAGGTCATCACTCGTCTGTATGGCGAGGAGCACGTGCAGACTGCTCTCGCCTGGCTTGAGCCCAAGAAGCAGCCCAGCGAGGCCGAGGCCGGCTTCTCTTCTGAGCCGGTCGAGTCCATTTGGTCGCCGAAGTACCGCCTGCAGTTTCTCGGTGCGCTGCTGCTGTCGTGCACGCAGCAGCTATCGGGTATCAACGCTGTCTTCTACTACTCTGGCAACATTTTTTCGGACGCCGGTATCTCGGACTCGCGTGTTGGAACGCTCATCATCGACTTCATCAACATCTGGCCGGCCTTCTTCACGAGTGCACTGGCCGCACGCTTCGGCAACCGCAACATGATCCTTTGGGGCATTGTCGGCATGGTCGTCATGTCCATCGGTATGACCGTCGCCTTCCTTGCAGATGTGTCGGCGCTCTCCATCGTCTTCACGGCACTGTACGTCATCGTCTTCGGTGTCACGCTCGGCCCTCTCGTTTGGGTCATGACAGCCGACATGTTCCCGGACTCGGTGCGTGCCAGCGCCTCGTCCATTTGCATTGGTGCCAACTGGCTGTGCAACCTCATCGTCGGTGTCGGTTACCCGTACCTGGCCGACGAGTTCGACGACTGGAGCTACATGCCCTTCACGGTGTTGCTCGTCATCTTCTACGTGTTGTCGCTCAAGTTGGTGCCGGAGACTGCTGGCAAGACCAACGAGGAGATCCAGGCAGAGTATGAGGAGCGCCGTCGCCGTTAGAAATCCACAGTTCGAGTGTATTGTAGCAGGAGATAGATGTTATCCTGGAACCAATATCATGTTAGTTTCTATTGAGCAGCGTGTTGTAGAAATGGTGAGAACAGCTCCATTATGTGCTTCAGTTCACATTCTTGACTGGGCTCAGATAAAACCTGAAGCAGGTACGACGAACCAGAGAGCTGCCTCACGACTTGTGTCGCTGTTACAACTAGCTGCGTCTTGTGAGTGTCTTCGCAGTATCGAACGTAGGCCAGGAGTTGATGAAAAACTTGTAACAAACAGCGGAAACCAGCGGCTGCGAGTGCTCCTTTGGGTAGATTGACGAACAGAGTAAGGAGGTTGTCTTGGAGCGTGTTGAACCTTTCCAGCTGATAGCGGGAGAACAGGCTGGCATCCTGGTTGTTATGGTCCATGGCGACGAGTACTGTGCGCTTGGCTTCACTTGAAAAAGACTCGAGTGCTGTGTTTGCCAACGTATGAAGCTTCTCTTCGACGAGAGTGTAATAGCCGTGTCGATTTATTTCTTCTAGCACCAGGGACAAACTGCGTGCTTGGAGACTCGAGTACGGGTCAAAGTAGCTTGATACAGCAGCACAAACCTTCTCAAACAGTACATCGCGGACTTGATAGAGCAGTGGGCCATCCACAGCCTCATCGCTACCAAGTCGGTGCTGACTAAGAACACGAAACCAAGCGAAATCCTTAAGCGACTTGAGCTTCGTATCAGTGTCTGCCATAGCCAGCGGATCCCAGTGCAGCAGTTCTGTTTGAACGTAAGGAGCGAAGACCTTCTCCTGTGCTAGCTCGCAGTACGTACTCTTGTAAGTTTCTGGGAATTTCGCCTTCCACTCCTGAAAACGCCCATACACGCGCTCAAGCGAGTTGATTTCATCGATCGCATCAGCGAATAAATCTTCGTCTTTTTGTTGTGGACCCGCCACATAGGATTCTGTGAAATGCTGCTGATACTTAAGCACACGTGCTGCACGCAGCGCGTCATTTAAGGGCGCTACAGCTTCTCCACTGGAGAGTAAATCCAAGTGCTTTAGACCAAATACGTCACTTTGCTGCAACACTCCAGAGTTGAGAAAACTCATAATGTCTTCTTCGATGCCACGCTTTTCTTCTTGCTGTGTTGTCTTCACTCGTTGCACCCGCTCATCCACAATGCACTTCTCCTTTGCTTTGATAACGGGAGCTTTCTCACGTAAACAAAAGCTCAATCCCTTGACAAAATCCTCGATTTCCTGGAAATAATCAAACTCTTCGCTGCTGACGAGCAGCTCTTCTTGCTGCTGCTTCAACGTCGTCTCGATCAGAGCAGCCTCAGCCTCCAGTCGAGATAATTCACGTGAGACACGCTCATCTTCAAACGTGGTGGACTCCAGACTCTTTTCCAGTTTACCAAGTACAGTCCCGAGCGATACACACGCCACGTTTCTCCTCATCGGATAAGCAGGCAGACCATCACGTGAACGTCTTCCCTTCGACTCCGACGTTGAAGGTATACGGTGTCCACCACGACGCATGAGTTCCTCCTCCCACCGTCTGTTCTGTTCGTCATCTTCCTCTTCAGTCGCCACGTCTTCTACAACTTCCGTCGTCTTTGAGATCCCAAACCCATCTGCATGCTCGCCAAATGTCACGCGGTTCTTACTGTGTCTCGTCTTCTTTATTCCATCTAGCGAAATGAACTCTTCTTCTTCTTCCACGATGATTTTCTCCACCTCCTCATCGTTTCCCGTCTCCATCTCCAGAATCTCCACGTCTTCTGGCGTTTCCTCCTTCTTACTAGACAGCAGCACACTTTGCTCACTTCGTAGCGACGCCAGCATCTCGGTGGAATACTGGCCAATTGGTTCCTCCATCTCAACGTCCACAGTGCTGGACACCACGAGATTAGGTCGCATCTTTCTCTTCTTTTGCTTCGTCTGGCGCTCTCCATCGTCAAAGCTCAGCAGTCCGCTGGTCTCTGTGTTAGCATTACCAGTTAGAGGAACTTGGGCGCTGCCTACGCTTGATCTGACACTTGTACTTCTCGAACTGAAGGTCATAGCGCTCTTTGAGGGGCGAGAGCGACTGCGACGGAGCTCCTCCAGTACTTGAAGGTCGCTCTCGGCTTCTGCGGAATCGCTGGGAGGCGGGATTTCGGCGGTTGGCAAAGTATCGACATTTGAAGGTGTGGTCGGGGCTTCACTTTCGCTCTCCGCCTCCACCTCGCGTCGTTTGCGGCTACCAGCTTTCTTCTTCTTGCTTCGGAACATGATTGCTCTCCAGTCGCTTAGATATTTCTCTACAAGACCACATTCAGTTGTAGAGCATTTACCCTCTAAATTCGTTTTACTGTATCCATATCTGGTTTTACTTTAGCCGATCCAAAGAACTCAGAGTAACCGACGTCCATGGACTCGCTCAAGAGCATGTTCTTCAGCGGAGACAGCGCGTCCAGACCCAAGGTACATACGAATCTCCGTCACCTGACTCAATCTCTTCTCTCTAACTGTATGTCGCTTTTCAGGCCGTCAAATGGCTGGGCATGGGTGCACACGCCGCTGGAAAGAGCGACCAAATGTTCATCAGCTCGGAGGCCTCGACTCAAGTGCTGCAGCCTTTAGGGGACACGCCCATCAACCTAATCTCCATCTTCGGAGCCGCTCGACAGGGCAAATCTTTCCTCATGAACCTCCTGGCCGACCAGCAAGATTTATTCAAGATCTCGAACCTTCGTGAGCCCTGTACTCAAGGCGTGGACCTTTCAGGCCACTTCGTGCCACTCAGCAAGTTCAGCAGCTTCAACGGCTGCCCATCTCTCGCGTCCAAAGCTAGTAAGAACATCCATGTCGGCTTTGTGGACGCCGAGGGCCAAGGAGACCGAGACATCACGTACGACTCGAGACTCGTGTCACCAGTGCTACTCGCGTCTAAGGTCGTCATCTTCAACTGGAAGGACAGTCTTCAGGCCGACAGAATGCTTAATTTACTGGCAGTACTAGCTCGTGCCGCTCAAGGCATTGAACTGCCCGATGGAGCCAACACGAAGGTGTTTGGACACTTGCACTTGTACGTAAGATTTCTATTGATTCTAGGAGGGTTTTAGCTAATGCTCTTGCGTTGTAGGGTGTTCCGTGACTGGAGTTTTGTAAATTCGACACCAGAAGAAGTGTATCGCGACCTGTTTCAAAAGGAAAAAGGACGCAGCGAGGAGGTGAATGTGCGCAATTTGGCTCGTGTGAACCTGATCGAAGCCTTCGAGTCGATCAACATCTGGCTGTTCCCGGCACCGGTGGCCAATACGGCGAATCTGAGAGACAAGATCCGCTTTGATCAGCTGCAGAAGCCGTTCCAGGGCAAGCTGCGGGAACTACGCAAATGCCTGTCAAGCCAGCTGCAAGAGCCCATGAAGTTCTATCAACGGCCATTGACTGCCAAGTATCTCTCGCAGATTATGCCTGCGTTGGTGGATACACTGAATAGCGACCAGGTGATCATGCCGGAGTCCATTTACTCGTCCATGGTGCGAGCAGAGGCTCAAGCAGCGAAGGAAAACTGCGAGAAGGAGATTTCTGCGTATTGCGAGGCTGCAGGGCTGGAAGAAATGATCTCGAGTGATGAGTTTAACAAGATGCTGCACAAGGACGTCGAGATGATCATCGCTGACGCGTACGAGAAGATGAAGAGCTTCCCGCCGACAGTGCGCAAGGAGATCCAGACGTCTCTTCGTGCTTTTGCTGAGAAGGAGATCACCATTGCACTTCACGCGAACAGTGAAAAGATCGCAGCGCATTTGTCCAAGCAAGTGGATGTGGCGTTCCAAACGCTGAAAACGGAATGTCAAGTGATCGAGAGAACGAAGCTGCCCATGAAGAGCACTTCGCTTCGTCAGATGTGCACGGAGCTACTGGAGCGCGAGTTGAGACGCATCGAGAAGCTTCCAATGGGGCTGCAAGGGGCGCGTGGAGTGGAGATTGAATGCGGCCGTGTACGACAGAATGCCAGTCTTCTCTTTGACAAACTGGAGGTGGCGAATGACAAGGCGATTCAGCATTCCACCGCTGCGCTGAATGATGTGGTGCGAGCAGCGAAAGCGCGAATGAGCTCGGAGATGCACGATAATCTGGATAAACGGTTCGCAGAGAAGCGTCCTGTGACGGTGACGAAGTTGCTGCGTGAAGTGGAGGTGCCTTTCACAAGGACAATCACTGAAGTGGTCCAGAAAGCAGGTCACGTGAACGAGTTTGGTGTATCTGACTACCGCGCCGACCTGGAGCACCACAAGGCTCAGTTAGCAGACGAGATGAACCGACGCTACATGATTGAGATGCGTCAGATTCTGAACGAGGTCAGCTATGAGGCTCGAGAAGACTTGGGCAAGCAGGTAACGTATCGTCTAGAGGGGAAGCTTCCGATGCTGGAAGAAGACATCAAGGCTGCGATCGATAACGCAGCTATTCACGTCATGAAGACGATGTCCGACAAGCTGCAAGGGTGGACGATCCTTAAGAGCGACCTGGAGGCGAAGAGCAAGGAACTCGAAAGGCTCGGGGACGATGTCAGTGGACAATTGCCATACTGCTTGCTGCTTTGTGTCTTACTTTGTTGTTTGTGTTGGTGTGTCGTGTAGCTTGCTGATCAATACTTGCGTCGCAATCAGCAATTGGAGAAGGACGCTGGGTTGCGCAAAGAAACGGAGCAATACGAGAAGCTACGGGTCGAAGTGACGCAGGCGTTCGAGCAGAAGCTCAAGGAGGTGGGGTTTCCTACTACTGATGACGAAATCGACGCCGTGTTCCGCCACGCCTTGCAAGAGCTGGCGGCCAAGTTCTTGTCGAGTATTGTGGATCGCGAAACTACCAAGTTTACCGCCAAAGGACTGCGCGAGATTCTCACCAGCGACTGCAAACCAGCCGTGGACAACCAGAAGATGCTGAACCGGTACGCTGCTTCTGTTGTAGCTTGTGACGTTTCCTCTTGCTTGTCTAACTGTTTGTTTCTTTGATTTTGTAGACTTGCAATTGAGAAGAAGGACGCATTGGATCTGGCAGAAAAGGAGAGACGTGCACGAGAGCGGGAGCGTCTAGCTGCGGAGCAACGCGAAGCAGAGATCAACCGACTAAAGAGTGATCACTCCAAGTGGCTTGGCGAAAAGGATACCGAGTCTAAGCATCTCCGCGACAAACTACAGGAAGAAGAACGAAAAGCTCGTGAGCTACAGCAGCGGGTGGAAGAGATGCAGTTGCAGACTGCTCGGATGGAACGACAGAAGCAAGAAGAGGCCCTCAAGTCGATGGAGAAGTCGCGTCGTGAGGCTTTGGCGAAGGAACAGGAGGCTGCGCGGTTGAAACAAGAGCTAGAGGAAATGAAGCGCAAGGCTGCGGAAGTTGAGACGCAGAAACGTCAGCTTGAGGTTCAAGTTACGACGTCTGAGGCGAAGAAGAGAGGCGAAGCTGAAGAACTGAAGCGTCAGCTTGAGGAGATGAAGTACACGATCGCGCAAAAGGAGCGAGAGCGTGTGAGTATGGAGATGCAGGTTCAGCAGGAGCAGGCGTCTCGTGAACAAGCAGAGCTCGCTGCTCAACAGGCTGCCAATGCAGCTGAGGTAGCAGCTCGAGCGGCCATCGAAGCCAGTCGGCACCAGCCACCACCAGCACCAGCGGAGACGGAGGAAATCGGACGTAAGAGGCCTCTAGGTAGAAGTGGGTCGGAGGACGTTGAGATGGAAGACGTGTCTCACTCACGATCGCGGACTGGTCGTGCCGCTGGTGAGTGTCGTGCGTCTCGGAGATCCAGAACTCTAACTTGTGTGCTGAATGTGCTGTGTGATTCTTGTGTACAGCAGCGAAGCCTTCCCCCGTGGCCAAGAAGCCCCGTGGACCCAACAAGGCAAGAGCTAGTGCCAGAGGTGGCAAGCAGAAGATGTCGCTGGCTGAGGCGCGCAAGGCTGCGCAGGAAGAAGTCGAGAAGCGCATCCAGGAACGAGCCAAGTTGCTGTCTTCGAAGAAGAAAAAATAAGGGACAGTCAGCATATCGTTGAACATGAGAAGTTTGACAGAGCCCGTTCAATTGTTCACTAACCCCGAAGAGCGCCCTACTCGTTTATTGCTACGATAACCCCTATGCAGATAGATGGAGAGAGCAATTTGGAGGAAGCGAAGCTCAGAATCGAGTAGTTGACAGATCAAGTTGGTGTCATGAGGTAGAGCGCAATGCCCATGCGAACGTCGAGATAGTAGCGCAACAAGCAGATCGGCCTGGAGAACATGCTACAACAGGAACGAGCAGCTCGTGAACATGCGGGCATATAGTGCTTGAGAAATCTGGTTTTGAAGGCAAAAATGTGTCGCTAGCGGAAGCACGGAAGGCCGCACAGAGAAGTGTATCCGGCGGCGCTTACATTGTCTCTACATGTAGTGTAACACTACGTAGAAATAAGAAAAACGGCATGCCGGTATGGGAGCACGGAGCATTGGCATCAAAGTTATTCCTGTCTCCATTTTTTCTTCATAAAATGAAGTTTATACTCGAGAATTCATTATTCATAGTGACCACCAAGGCTGCAAGCGAGCTGCAATGACTAGAGATGCATATAGGCGGGGAGGTTTTATCAAGTCAGTGGTGAGGCGTCAGGGACAGCAACCAAGGACATGGACGCAAACCGAGATGGAGGAGATAATTCGTCAAGAGCGAGCTGTTCGCCAGCAAGCGCAACTCGCTGCAGAGCAGACGCTACAGGCGGCAAAAGAAGCGCAGAAGATGATCCTACAGCTTGAAGACGAACTCGATTCTAAGGACAAGCAGCTTCAGCAAGAGCGTGCAGCTCGCCAGAAAGCCGAACTACATGTAGCTGCTCAAATTGCTGCAAAGGCTGTTGCTGAAGATACGCACGAAAAAGCTACCGCATTGATAAGCAAGAGAAGAAAAGGAGAGCACCCCCAACCCAAAAGCAATGCGGTGATTTCTAAGTCGGAAGGCGAAGCTCCTTATGGTAAAACGCAGATGTAGGCTTCCCCTCTCGCCTCTGCTAATACTTTCACTTTGCGTTTTCTAGCAGCCAAGCCACCTCATGCCAAGAGAGCTCGTGAAAACACCGAAAAACAATCACCAAAACGGCTGAAGGTGGAAGAGAAGACATCTCAAAACAAGACTTGCCAAAAGAAAATGTCATTGGCAGAGGTGCGTAAAGCTGCTCGGGATGAGGTGGAAAAACGCGCTCAGGAACGTGCCAAGGCGCTGGAAGCAATGAAGAAGGAGTCAGTTCCAGCATTTTAGCTCGTGGCGATCTTATCGTCGTCCCAAGTCATCATGCGCTGCTGCAAAGAGGCTAATCACTGCGTCGATTGGAAATTATCCATTTATCAATGACCTCATTGTGCATTCATCCAAAAAACTGAAGTGAAGTCTTTACATGTAACTGGGCCATAGGTGGACAGGTGAATAATACGAATGAATTACACTACACGTCTTGTGGCACACCGTCAATCTTCGTGTAGCCGTTTTTCTTTGTGATGCGCTCGTTGATGTCGATCGAGCACAAGCTGGACGAGCTTCCCCACTTTTCATGGGTTGCCGCACTCTTTTCAGGGTATTCACGAGCAAGCCACGCGAAGATGAGAGCAAACAAAAATGCAGCCGGGAAGACCACAAAGGCGCCAGTGCCCCACATGGCACGCCCACCAAAGTGCTCGTACATGTAGCCGCCCATCAGTGTCGAGCAGGCAGCGCCCATGCCCCTTTGCACAGCAGTTAGGAGACCGATCATTGTGCCCTCCGTACCCTCGGGTGAGGACTGGAAAATGTAATTGGTGAAGGCAGCCCACAGCAGCCCGAAGGTCATGCCGTGTAGGACCTCGAACGGTAGCCACACCCACGGGTTGTGCGCGTACGTGTAGACGATCATTCGGATGCCATAAGCCACAATACTGAAGATGATGCAGTTTGGCGTTCCGAAGCGTTCGAAGATCTTGTTGGAGAAGAAGAAGTGGGCAACTTCCGAAGAATGGTACTCCAGTGGCCGATGATAGACTCCCGACACAGTCTCCGTGTCGTTTGCCCGGACAGGATTGAAGTCTACAAAGCACTGCATCAGTCTCCAAAAACAGGATTTTGTACTTAGCCCAGATGCATTTGACGTACACCAAAAGGAAGAGGAAGTCTGCACACAGCAGCAAACACACAAGAGAACAGCAGCAAATACTCAACATAACATCATTAAATCATAGTGCAGGGGTGCAAACGTCTGTACACAGCATAACACACAACGTTAACCAGGTGCTCACAGGATACGATATCGCAGCAAAACCTACACTATCGATGAGGCCTCCCATGATACCAGCCAATAATACCACAATGTACAGGATAAGCACATCCGGTTGGTCCCAGATAATGGCGAGTGACTGGAGGTAGTCGGTCTTGGCGCCGTCTTCGTCTGGTTGGTAGGCGGAGATGAAGCGTAGCAGGATGAAGAGCGAGATGACGGAGAGACCGAGGACCATGTTGAAGCACCAGGCGATGCCGATGGCGGCGGCCATGAGACCGGCGAAGTAGCCGCCGATACCGTAGCCGACTGCACCGTAGAGTCGCTGCTTGCCGTAGACGCCGCCAATGTGCACGAGCATCGTCATAGCCGTCTGATCCAGGAGCGACCACGTAGGTTGCGTCTGGAAGTTGGCTACGAAGAGCATGAGGCACATGACGTTGAAGGTGGACACAAAGCGCAGCGAGAACATGAAGAGTGCGGTCGTGACGAGGCAAAAAATATGCACAAGCTTCTGGTTCTTGATCAAGTCGGCCACGCCGCCCCAAATGGGGGGAGCGATGATAGCGCAGACGCACGGGAGCGTCAACAAGATGCCGATCTGCATCTTGTCAAAGTGCTCCGTGTGGTCGAAGTAGATCTGCAGTAATAGGAGTGAGTTATGAACGCAAGAGTGTGCTGGGAGGTTCGTACAGGCAGGTAGGTCTGCGTGGAGAAGGCGCAGTAGTGAATGGCGAAGAAGAGCTTGAGCGGCACGAGTCGCTTGCTCTCCCCGCCATCGATAGTGAACTCGATGAGGCGCAGGATCGCGGACATCTAGGCGGAGGTTCCGGCCTACAAGTTGTTCGTAGTTGTAGCCTACAACTACGAACTAGAAGCCGAGAAGGATTTCGAAAAGTGACGCAGAACTATGCAGACCGCAACTTAAAGTGGGTTCACAGTCTACACTGTAGACTATGAACCTGTAGACTACAGCTGCTCAGGACTCCTAAAGCAACTTGACCTTGGCGATGCAGCCGTCTGTCGAATTTATGGCTGCATAGACGCGTGATAGTAAGAACTATCCAGGCTCAACTTGGAAGTACAGACGAGCCCTTCGGTAGTAATCCCTGCTCATGGAATACCTCCGACAAAAATAATATACAGTATTGGTTGATATTAGAGAAGTATTAGAGAGCCATAGTTTCTGGAATAACTCAGGCTTTGTCCAGAAATATATTTCAGCGAAGGGTCGCGTTATTCCACTGGAATATTTTTTTGGAATATCGATCGGTAGATTTTATCCAGATAATCGCTATCCCAAATTCCATTTCAGAAACTAATAATCCTAACCAACCCCATACAGTAGTGTGGTTCTGAAATCATATTTTCTTGGTTGCTAAAGGATGTATTTCCACCAGTACATGTAGAACGAGCGAATAATTTTAATGAAACACAGGAAAAGATACCTGTAACGGTTGACTTTTCTGTCTGCCGGTACAAAATCCATTCTATACCCACTCGACTCCTCAACAGAGTCCGGGTTATTTCCTCTTTAAATTATGTGTACTGCTATTATAAAAAAGTGTAGATCCACCCAAAATGTGGACGGGAACACACACACAGAAAACGGGTCACCACCACCACCTTAAAATATACGACCACCACAATAGCACGATCACTGCCAAAGTATTGAAGTGTTGAAGATACAGAAATAGATAGATTTACACAGTCGTCGCACTGTCGCTCATTTAAAATTACGTGGAGACAAACAAAATGGAGCGTGAGAACGATGATCTTTTAGATGGAGCAGGTAAAGATCCCTGCTAAACATGTGCAACAAGCGTCCTTACTGGCGGAGGCTCAAGCCGAACCGCTCATGTGGAAACCTGCGTTCTCGACTCTGAAATGTGAAAGAGTTCTCGAGTGTTCACGTCGACTACTGAGCAACAACACGCTACTATTTAAGCTGGTGCGGTGGTTCAATTTCCGCGTCGAACACGACCGAGCTCAGCCTAATAGTATCGACATTCGAGACACTGAGGCTTCACTTGACAGCAAGAGCACAAGTGCAAAGTGGCAGCTCGCCACGAGCCAATTCCAGACTGTAGTGACCGATTCGTTCAAGACGTTGGAGATGCTCTTTAGCGATGCGTTGCTGTACTTGGAGGCGGACCAGACCGCCATCTTCATGCAGATGAAAGAGGCCTTCCGCTTGGCAGACAAGGACTGTAGCGGCGAGATCGACGCGGACGAAGTGGCAGACATGCTGGAGACCATCGTCGCCCAGTCTGGCACGGTCAAGCAAGGCGAGATCCACAAATACGTCGAGGAATTCATGCGTGTGGTGGACAAGGATAACAGCGGCTTGGTGTCGTTCGAAGAGTTCATCGAGGCGCTGGAGAACGGCCTCAAGCTCGAGGTGGAGGTGTACACGCAACGTAAACCCAAGGCCTCGGCTCTGGTAGCCAGACCGGAGCATGTGCTGGCAGCTATCAATGAGAACGAGGACGACGAGCCGAAGGTCGTCGACGTGGACTCTGGCGACAAGATTTAGTCCAAACTTCCACCTTTGGATGTGCAGGAAGCGAATGTCAACAATTCTCGAGCCGCGATGCCGTCACGTGAGAGTTAACGGAACTCGTCCCAAGCTTCGTCCGTTGAGAAGAACAAGAGAGTCTCGTCGGCTGCGTCATCGGATTCTGCCATGTGTCGCGAGCACGACGTTCTAAATGTGAAGGAATTCTCCAGTAAGCACATCGCGGCGCAGATGAAGACTGCGTACGTGGAATGGCTGCTGGAAGAACGTCGCTACGAGAAGATGTCGATGGAGGAGCTCTTACTTCTCAACTGTCTCGTCAGTGGGGCGGAAGGTATTGCCAAGAGTCTCACAGAGATGGCAGAGATCGTCGTAACCTCCTAACCAGAAAATTCGCATAGATATATCGAAAACAATACATTTTTCTTTTTGATGAGGCCACAAAAGTCACTGTCTTGTTGCCTCAACTACAGCGTCTTTGTAGCCTGGAAGGTCTTGCTGTGATCCGGACCTGCTTCATCACGCGCGTGTAGGTTTCCGGACGGTAACCGATATGAAACAAAATCTGGAGCTACACGAACATCGGAGCGGTGATCAGATCCTGGTCCAGGCTGTCGAAGAGTGCCGGTTTGCGACGATCGAAGACGCCGTGACCAATGAACTGCAGGATCCAGCGTGGATGGCCAATGCGTGCATACTGTGCACGTTCATGGCCTTGGCACCCTCGACAACGAAGTAGTAGGCAAGTACGATCCAGACGGAGATGATGGCGACGACTGCCAAAGTGCCAGTACTTGACTACGAGCGCGACCCAATCACGCACTTCTTCATGTCGAGCTCATTGCACTGCACCATCAAACATGGTAGATGAACGCAGAATCAACATGCTAGAAACGTTCATTTTATAACATTTATGAACGTACTTGTGTTTTTCTTAGAGCTGCGTTGGTGGTCGGTCTTGGGTGCCGCTGCTCTGGACGGAGTGTGGTGCTGGAGCGCTTGGGCTCAAGTTGGAGAATGACACTGCAAAGATAACTTAATGACTAAGGGGCACGTGGACTCCACCGTCCCAGCCACAACCTCGTAGAGTGTGGTCTTTGCTCAAAGACCAACCGAAATGTAGTGCCATGGCACGCTGCAAGGGAAAGTGAGGCGTCGTTGACTGCGACTCGCTGTTGCTGCAGCTACAACATGATCGCTACAACTTAGTGCTCGAATCACTTCACCTATGCTAGTGATTCGAACAAAAGCACTGACATGGAGTGTTTGATTAGCTTTGTGCTAAGTGTTACTGCTTCCTATATGTGTGGACACTCCACTTTTATTTTGTGAGTGATAGCTGTCCTGCATTCTCCTTTTTTTTGGTGGCGGTTCGAACTTATTTGGTGGAGTTACACCTACCTCCACTCAACACTGTGCGCTAACGTCCACGGTGGCGCCGTAGTCATCCGAAGTGGCAAGCAATGAACTCTCGTCCGACGTGACACTGCCCTTACTGACCGCTGGGCTCTGTGTGGTGTAGCTACGCGCCAGGTACGCGAATCCGGCTGAAGCCACCAGTGAGAGCGGGAACACGATGAAGCCCGCAATACCCCACATAGTGCGGCCGCCCAGCACTTCGTAGACCCATCCACCGCCAAGCGTACTGAGGCCACCACCGATGCCACGCTGGACGCCGAAGAGCACGCCGATCATCGTACCTTCCGTGCCCTTGGGAGCAGCCTCGTAAATGTAATTTGTGAAGGCCGCCAATAATAATCCATACGTCAAACCGTGCAAGACCTCGATCGGGAGAACCAGCCACGGGTTCGGAATGAACGCATACGTGATCATGCGGATGCCGTAGGCGACCAAGCTCACGAGAATGCACTTGGCCGTTCCGAAGCGCTCAATGATTTTGTTAGCGTGGAAGAAAAATGGCAGCTCCGAGATGGTCTCAACAGCGACGACTACACCGACGATATGCGGGTTGTTGCCGGACAGGTTAAAGAGGTATAGAAACAAGCAGGGAACCCGAAAAAGTTATATGCGTAAAAAATAATCCTATTTTTTTTTATTTAATTATCAATTTATGGCTGTCAACAACGGGAACAACCCCAATTTTGAGTAAGGTCTAGTCAAGTTACAGCGTGGGGACGCGCTGAACGTCGCGGAAAAATTAGCCTGCGCTGAATTTAGGTCGCCTGATCTCGAACGGTCGTCTTCAAGAGCCGTCGAAGAGCGTTCTATTGTGAGAGCGGCGTTCAAGAAACGCAATTGCGCACTACGTCGACGTCGCGTACATCCCGCCAACGTCTAGCGAGTGTGAGTGCTTCTTCTATCTCGCTAAGCTGGTGCTGTCTGATCTACGGAAGCGAATGTCTCCAGCCAGGCTCGAGAATATAATGTTTCTGAACTACAATCGTGACTTGCGAAGTTTTGCAAATAATTGAATGTTTAATTTTCTCAGCTCACATCGATGCATTAATTTAAGTATTGCATTTTCGGGTTCCCTGGAAACAAGAGATTGTCGATAAGGCCCCCCATTACACCGGAACATATCACGATCATAAACAGAGCGAGCACGTCGTGCTGGCGAAGAATGGCCTTTAGACTCTTGAGTAACTCGCCCTTCTCGTGTTTTTCCGCCTCGTGCTGGAAATTCGGGACGTACGTCAGCAACAGGAAAAGCGAAATGCTCGATAGGATGAGCACCATGTTGAAGCACCACTAAATACCCAGAGACGAAGCCACGACACTTGCAAAGTAGCCTCCAGCACCGTAACCTGCGGCGCCGTACAGGCGTTGTTTGCCATAGTCTCCAGCCACACGCTCCAGCCACGCCATGGACGCGTGATCGAGCAGTGAAAACGACGGTTGCGTCTGGAAGTTGGCGATGAACACCATCACGCACATGAGCGGGAACGACGTAACGTACTGGATGGAGAAGAACAAGAATGCCGCCGATACGAGGCACATCGTGTGTGCGAGCTTCTGGTTGTGGATGCCGTCCGCGATCGCTCCCCAAACCGGCGGACTGACAATCAGGGCTCCCCAATATGCCATACTCAATATATTCTGCTGCTATTACGCCAAGACAATAATAATGGCATTATTCCCTAAGCTGACTACGCATACTCTGCCTGATAGCTTTAACACTAAATCCTTCTTGTTGTACGATAGAAACATAAGCAGTTCAAGAGTGTTAGGGTCCATGGCTTTCCTTAGGTCGGTCAGAACCAGCTTGGCTTGACTGAAGAAACGCTCGCACTCGTTCGACGTGGGTGGAACCCACTCGAGAGGAAAGTATTGCGGTGGAGAGCGCGTCACAGGGGCCTTCTTGAAGGCCGACGCGAGAAATGACTTGAAAACTGCTGGATTTTCCACTGTGTCGTCGCTGCTGCGCTTGAGATGAATACACGCCGCTTGTTCGCGTGCATTCAGCCGACACCGCCAATGATCTTCACGATGCCGCTCTCCAGTTCGGGATCGTTGACGACGGAGGCGTCACTTGCAAGCCGGGTCTTCGTGCTGGGGTACTTGCGCAACACTGCATCAAAGGCACGTCGTGCACCCACCACTGTTAGAGTTGAGTCTTGTAGCGCCTTACTCACCTCATTCAGCTCGTGCAGCGACTTGAGAAAAGAGCGAGCGGCTTCGGTTTCCTATGGGTCGTCAGAAGAAAGCGCGCGATGTCATGCTTAGCCACCGTAGCGTGGTACAACGCGAGAAGAGCGCTACAAATCTTGTCGTACTGCTGTAGGTACTCGACCAACGAGTCGCGTTGGGCATGACGGGCGCTAGAGAGGTCACCTTGCGAAGGGCAGCACGACACTTGATGGTGCTCAGGTGTTTCATGAGCGCGTGTATCTTAGCCAACATGGGTTCATGATCAGCCAGATACGCGCTCAGATGTCCTTGTTTGTAAATTTCATGGGGTACTTGGGCGAAAGGGGGCTGAAGAGCTGTTGGGATGACTGCAAAAGGTCGAATGAGCTGAGGAGATTGCAGTAAAGTCTCTTTTGAGGTGATGGCAATCAGTAGTTTTGGTGGACAGTATTAACCCTAGAATAATTGATAAAATGCTGAAAAAATGCTTGCATTTTTACTCGCTGCTCAATACATAATTGCATTTCCAATATGCGATATTATTCAATATGATAATTCAAATCGCAGAGGCCTGCTGACAATAGCGCAAACGCACGGAATGGAGAGAAGCACTCCGATCTGCGCCTTCGAGAAGCTAGCGGTCGTGTCGAAGTAGATCTGCATGGCATGATTTCAATCAGTGAGCAACGATTGCGGTTGAGTAAAACTACACGACAACGCACCGGCAGGTAGGTCTGCATTGAGAAGGACCACGTAGAGAATTTTGAGCGGCACAAGCTCCTTAGCCTCGCCGCCGTCGAAGATGAACCCCATTCGAAATCCCATCGTGTTCTAAAAGTGTTGACTAAGCTCGTAATGAAGGTCTGCGCTCGACGTTGAGAAGTGAGGAATGACAAGGCTGCCGAACGTGCAAACTCAAGTTCAAGTCTCCAGCCGGATTTATGTCGATCATCATGGCGAAATGCAACGTCAGCTCCTCCACTTGAGTCCCCAGTCACTGAGAATGTATTGACGAGAGCTCCACGCAGCAATGTTAACCTGGGCAACTTGCACACTCTTTACTGAAAAGCAACAAGATCAACCACACATAAATAATTACGGCCGTTAATTAAAGCGACTCCCCTTCGTAATACTGTAAGTATCACTTAGGATATTATGCTTTAGAGCAGAAGTCATGAAAGGACGCGATGAGTGAATCTCCATGTCGTATCCTTTTGGTAGGATGCACCGATCGGCCGCTTAAAAGCTCCTCAGCCCCACGGTGACACTGGAGAACTTACGTGTACATACAGTTTAAATAATCACTACGTGGTTGATATTTTCGTGTGTGATTTTCCTGCATGTGAAGCTTCCCCTGGAGCGCATTGATGGCACTAGTGCGACGAGTTCGATCGTCCGCATCCTTAGCTTTGGGGTTTACCTATGGAAAACTGAGATACCGGTATGCAACGTGCGTGCAATGATATTCGCCGCATCCTATTAGTCCTCGAGTGGGAAGGAAAGCCAGGCAAGTGAAATAAGAAGCAGGGGCTGCAGATGGCAGCATTTCCACGGCTCAAGGATCGAGTCACCAGAACACTCGATTTATACTTTGAAGTATTGCCTTTCGCTGGCCCTTAAAGCCAGGAATCCACCAAGATGTCGTTCTCAGCGCTCCACCGACGGTCAACACGAAGAAGCACCAAGAAAGACAGTGGAGAGGATGGCAACGATTCATGCCCGCTTCTTCACGAAGACGAGAGACCGAGTAGAAGTGTCCAGCCTGTGCGCATCGTAGATGTGCGGCGTATCGATAGCGGCGTTCTTACTCCGAAGAGGAGTTTGGTGCAGCGCATTCAGAGCCGCAAGAATCGCCTCGTGCAGCGCGTTCTCGTGGCTTGTCATCTAGCAGATCCATCGAGAGACCAGGCGTTTAAGCAGATCCAGACAAGCAATCGCACGGCAATCGAGCAGCTCGCAACCATTCGCAGCAGTTTTTTCGATCACTCGCAAAGCGTTGTCAGTAAGTTGTTTGAAAAACGCCCTTTGTGGTTGCTATCGATCGATAACCATGCCATCGGATACACCAGACCTATCGACGGCTATCTGTTGCTTTGCTGGCAACTCCGCGCGTACTCAGGACGACAATGTATTGACCAGCATGGCTGTGGAAGGACACAAGCTCCGTGAATACTCGCTCGTGTTTAGTGTAAGTTTCTGGATCACCAAAAGCCTGGAGTGTTGTCTTGACACACCTCATGCTGGCAGGGTCTAGTGGAGAAGTCTGTTCTGGCAGAGATTGACCTCCGCATCACCGAGCTCGAGCGAATCGATTCACTCATCGCGAACCGAGCTAAACTAGTGCTCGACGTCGAGTACGCGAAGCGGACGGTGAGTGGATAATGGTTTTGGCGGCGATCTGCAAGATGCGCGATCGCTTAGAACCTGCTGGTGTACAGTTGGCAGTGGAAACCCAGAAAGGAAACTTGAACCGTGTTGCAGAGCACAAACAATCGGTACGCTAATTATTCAACAGGATATGGGTCTTGGTGTTGGTCGGTTACGTTCCCTCATTGCTGCAACAGCTTCAGACTGCACAACTTGATTGCGAGCGAGCGACGCGTTTCATCACTGAGCAGCTTAAAGGTGTGCGATCAAATAATGGGTCTGACATGCTAGAGCTCTTCCAAGAGGTAAGATTGACGGACACTGCGAGCGATCTCCACGAACTTGACACTGTGGTGATGATGCGTAGTACTCGCAGCAAGCAGCGTGGTTTTTCCAGCGTGGCGCAGACCTGGCCGACGCTTAAGTCGTTTCCTACGAATCAAGACGACTACCCCCTCCAAAGGAGGGGAGATTGCGCAGTTCACCACACTAAAGCTGTAGATCAGTTGAGCAGAGCTCAGATTGACCGAGCGCAGCAGACACAATTGTACATGTATGTACAATGGTTTCAGAGCGTGCATCCCAATCATCGTCTTTAGAAAGTGTCATTATTCATACACATGTAGCACAGCACCGACCTCCAGCAATTGATGCATGCCGTGTGGTGACGCCTTGGAGGCTCCAAGTTGGAGACACCGGAGCCAAGTTGGACTCCATCTTGGAGCGCACTGCCACTATGTAACGCAGCATCACATCTCCAATTTGATATCGCCCTTTCCGTCGAGCAGGGCCGGGCAACCTTCGCTGTGTTGTTGATGCCTGACGCCGCTCGAGTCGTCGACCCTCGATCACTGTGTTAACTGAGCTAATATAGCTTCATGTAAGTCTCACCCTTCAATATCTTTGGCGCGATTTCGACAAGAATGAAAAAATGAAAATAGCTCTGCTTCGGATCTATTATAATTCTTGATATTGACGTCAATATCGTCTTCATTCTTGTCCTCGGGTTCAATGAGCAGCCCAGCTGGTGCGCGTGCTTCGCCGACTCATCTCCACGTGGGGAAGGGGCAAATCCATACTTTCGATCTGCTACACCAGTTCCCATTGGGACTCCCCAACATTCGCGCCGGCTGACGCTGATTTCGTCTTCTTCCGGCAAGCGCTTTTGGGTCAGGCAGTGTCAATCCTCGATCCTTACCGCGGTCAGACCACGACGACGAGTACCTGCTAGCTCCTACTTTACAAAGTGATCGCGCGTCCTATCTTGCAGTCCTGCAACACGGCAATCAACAATTGGCACGGCACAACGGGGGAGAGAACGAAGCACGCCACCGACAGCGCTTGGTAAATCTCTATCGGCTGTCCGAGTGAAAAAAAGCTCAAGGAAGAGAGAGCGACACGCGTGAGACGGCGAGCTTCTAGAGGCGTCGCATTCAGGAAAAGACTTGAGCAGTCGGGTCACGCAGAACTGCGATCGACGTTCGCCAACCATGTACTCCATGTTCCCCATGGTCGAGAAGTCGTACCGTGTCAACATCACGGACGACATCGAGCGTGACTTGCGCTTCCTGGGTCAGTCGCGTGTAGATGCACTCACTTCGCCGTTCGCGATGAATCCGGTGAAGGAGAAGAACGGACTGAAGCTGTTCGAGCTCTGCGAGAAGGAGTTCTACACTATGAAGGCTGTGACGACAGTCCATGCACCGATCCAGGAAGTCCTGCACATGCTCAAGATGGATACAACAGCTAAGCTTCGCGAAGTTATGGGTGAGATCTTCGGCACACTCTTCCTGGACGGCGTCGTGCTGTACAAGAAGCCAGAGTCCGCGTCGCGACCTAACGAGAGTCTATCGATCAGTTGGACTGCATTACAGGCGTCCAAGCCCAATCTACCACACCGTGACTATGTATTCTTACGTTATGGCGATGTCTTCGAGAAGAACTTGGAGCACGGCAGTATGTACCAGAACAACGGATCGGGTCTGTACATTGGCTCCTCTATTTGGGAATCTATCGAACTAGACGGCTGTGAACCTCTGCCCCCGTCTCAGAATGTGGTGCGTCTTCGTATGCGCCGCTCAGGGATCGTAGTGGAGGAAACAGCACACGACGGTCCGCTGGAGATCTCGCTCTTCCTATCTGAAAGCCACCCGGGTCGTGACGCGGTATCAACTCTCACACGCACATGGATGACCAAAGTGGTTAGCTGCGTTGCTCAGGTCCCTAACGCTTTGCTCGCCCGGGCTTTAGGCTCACAAAGCTTGTTAACGAAGCGCGACTTCCGCAAGGACGGTCCGAATTGCTACATGTGTCTTAAGGCTTTTACCGTCTTCCGTCGCAAACACCACTGCCGCGTCTGTGGTGACGTCGTGTGTAGTAGCTGCTCGGAGATGAAGACTTTACGCCAATCCAATGCTAACAAGGAGGTGCGTCTGTGCCGTCAATGCCGCACAGCTAGCACGTCGTCCATCCTGTCCTCGAACAGTGGCTCCAATTCGATCTCACTGTCTCAAACGAATGCAAGTCACCGAAGTATGCAGAGCGTCACGAGTTCTGTGGACAGCTACGAGCTGGATGCAAGTAACATCTCCATTTCTGGCAGCACCACGAGCGTGTCGGAATCGTACAGCGAGACTGCTCGTCCGAAGACGTACCCGTTGAAGAGCAACGGGTCGTTCCGTCGCCAGCGCTCTACCGACAGTCCCGCGCCCAACCCAGCCACCGAGTTCAACCGAGGTGGCCACAGTCCCGTTAAGGAGGACTTCGACACGATATCCGAGTTCTCCGAGTTTACCGAGTTCCAGTGGACGGACGAAGTGTCTCGACCGAGTGTCGAAGACCTTGCACAGCTAGAGAAGAAGCTCACTGTGCATGCGAATACGCCGTTTAACTACGCACTGAAATACAGCAGTCGCCAAGAGTGGCCAAAGGCTCCAATTCCGTCTAACGAGGCTGCTCGACTTAAGAAGGTGCGTGAGCTGCACTTGGCCGACCCTGGCAAGCAGTTCCAGGAGATGTGTGAGTATGCTGCTGCCGAACTGGGCTGCCAGATTGCGGCGATCAGCTTTATAGGCGACAAGAGTGGGTTCCTGATGGCCAAAGTAGGGCTGGACAAACGTGAGCTGCCTCGAAACATGCTCATGGATGCCCACGCGATCATGACAACACAGCCTACAGTGATTCTGGACGCGACCGAAGACCTGCGATTCGTGAACAATCCGCTCGTGACCGACGGACGGGTGCGATTCTTCGCTGGTTTCCCCATGGTCACTGCGGACGGCCACGTTGTGGGCTCCTTCAGTGTGGCTGACCAGTTTGCCCGTGAGTTTCTACCTGGAGACAAGTATCTGTTCTTGCGTAACCTCGCGGATGTTGCTATCCGTGGCGTCGAGCAGAATACTCTGATGAGCCTGGCAGTACGGAGAGCTGGCGGCAACGTTCACAAGGTCAAGTCGACGATTCAAGCACCACCGCCTCCAGGAATGAATGTCGCCGACGCAGAGCTCACCATGCAGGAATTGCTGCGAACTGCGTATACGACCCAGTGCCAAGTCCGCATGCACGTCAATCCCCTGTCCGATTGAAGTGCCTTCACCGCCTGAAATTCGATCTCCTGTAAAAATATTTAAGTTATAGTCACGGACAGCAAGAGGACTCTTGCGTAGCAAATTGAAACCGATCAGTACATAATATACAGCTAGTGTCGTCCAACTCGATGTCGCCTCTCCTTCATTAAATCAAAAGCCAGGGAGCGACAAGCTCATGGTCTCAACCATTCAGACCGTGCACTCTCGTCGTGTATTTTTTTTCAGTTTTTCTGTCTTACAGCTCGTCCTCGTCGTCGTCCACACCAGCGTAAAACTTCTCGAGCGCCTGGTCAACCGAGTCGACGAGCGGTGTCGGTTGGCGCAATGCCTGAGCGTGGTCCAATAGCGTGACCAGGTGAACCTTCTGCTTCCACTGCATGAGCGTCTCTTCCAGCTCCATATTGGCCTTGGTGATGAGCATATCCACCACTCGAGGGTCCTTGACGTCCGCGTGCTGGCGGAATAGCGCCTGAACGGCCAGTCGCGCCTCGGCCGGCTCCATCGGGATATCATACAGCGTCAGCACACGCGGAACCTGTTTGGTAATGTAGCGGTACAGCGTCACGGCCGGACTGGCCTTAGACGCCGCCGCTGCCTTCTCCGCCGCGACACGCAGAGCCATGATGGTTCAAGTTCCAATTGTGATAAAGGAAGGGGCTTGCAACGATTGCAGCCACACGCAGACCCCCGGAAGGCTTTTACAAGTTATTTGTAGTGATTTGCATAATTTGAGAAGAATTAGCAAAACTGGCCAAGGACCTGTTATATATGATCTCTTCTGCATTTTGATACAATCTAGTAAAAAGAGACTGATAAACTTGTGATATCGTGTACCTAAGAGACGCAAGCGTATCCATGTGGCGAAAGCTGGTAGGTAGGCACTGCCAACATACATGCAGTCGCCAGAAAGTGTGATTGAAACAGAGAGCATGCGCTTCGACGACGCAGACAGGGCTGTGGATACCACTGGAACCTTTCCAGTGGAATGAGCCCCTGCCAGCTCCATTGGAGCACGTAGCCTTGGAGCCTCCAAGGCTACGTGCTATCAAAAAGAGAGTACAGTACCGGTACCACGAATGAAAAAGTATCCTCGCGCATGTGTTCGTTCCCCCGCAAGTTGCGGGGGAACGAACACTTTGGGGCTCTCACTTGCCGTCTGCACTGCGAAAAACTCCAGACCACGCTGCCAAGTAACTATTAAAAGTGCCAGCACTGTTGGCAAGGTATCACGGTTTTGCTGCGTAGCTGTTTGCTCTAAGATAAAGGTTGACAAAAGAGCTTACAAAATGGACAGACGCCGTTGAAATTGTCCGATGTTTGTCTGCGCGCTGGCACAGCAATAAAGTACGGGTAGTGACCTATTGCTACACAGCCACACTGCTCTATTGTACTGCAGCTCGACTCGACCTTGGCCAGCTCAAAGATGGTCGAAGGTGACTGTCAATGACAGTCTGTCATGCAGTGCATGACATGCGCAGGGCATGCGAGATGGTGCTTGTATGCAAGACCGAGCATAGTTTCGTGGTGCTTAGTGTAACTTGCAACTTTCAGCGACACTACACTCGGTCTGTTGCACTGTAAGCGTGCGTCGAGTATATCCTCGCCCGGCAAACGGCCAGGACTTTTAAAAGAGGACTGTTCCATAGTCATAGAAATAAGTATCCTAGCCTTGGGTTCTTAGATGCTCATTATGAGGAAAAAGAGGAATTAACCACACCGGTAATCCAGTCGAAGAGATACGGTACTCGATCGCATAACCCAAATAATTATTAAGCTCGGTGCGAACTTAAAGCACCTATTATCCCGGCCAAAAAGGCTTGGACAAAAATGGTAATATATTTTATCTTAAATTAGAGGAATGTAACTCCGCAACCGTAGAGCCGATTTCGTTGTGTGTCCCCTTAATAGATAGCTTGGTGTCTATTTATTCTCGTAAGAACTTCACAGCATCTAATAATGTTCACTACTTTTCAAATGGTCGCCGGTAAGAAATTGACTGCTGCTGAGAAGTACTTGGTTGTGAAGTCCTCCGCCAAAAGAAGGCCTCTGCACCGCATCTATGGAAAGGAGGAGTTCGTTATCATGTCAAAGAGTGTTTAGGCTTTGCTACGGGCACCATTTCAGCTATATGGGCGCACTGGGAGCAGCACCACGACAAGAATTTCACCTCGGTAGGCTGTACTTCATATCATTTCAGTTATTATTGATATTTATCATTTCAGTGGTCGACAAATTAATTATGACAGATGGAAGGTCCAAAACCATCTGGGAGGCCTCCAGAAATACGAGACAAAATATCTGCAGCAAGGTGATGAATGCGAAATTGCATCGGAACCAGAGGGCAGCAACGAGGACACGGAAGAGGATGACGCCGTCGATGACAATGAAGCTGTAGCCGATTAGGAATATGAACGGGTGACCCGTTGTATGTTCTTTACACTCTAGATATTCTTTTGACGGGTTCTTTTTAACAAGTTTATAATTTTCTAACAATCGTCAAATTGCGGTAATATTTGGAATTTATCCATCCGGTTCTGAAAATCCCCACCTGTTATCCCGGCTCTGCCAATGAATATGCATGCATGTTAGTACGTGCCAAGCCCACAATTGCAAACAATTCTGCAAGATATAGAGCCTTTTTTAAACGGCCGATTGGGAGATCAATGGTTGCAGATACGCAAAAATAGACCTCAAAATCGGAATCTACGCCCGATTTTACCCCTTATATCTAACTATCGTTATGGGTTTTGTGAAGGGAAGGGTTACCTTTTTTGGACCAAAGTTTGTCCAAGGTTTGGTGGCCGGGATAATAGGTGCTTTCTAAAAAAACGAAATAGCTGTTAAGTTTGCATACCAAACGGATCGCACCAGTCCTGGTGCTTTCTCTAATACTACAGTAGTAATGTACTTGTACTGGATGTTGTAAGTTAATCTTAGCTGAGACCAAGTCACTCCTCTCCAGCAAAAAAAGCGCCCCACCGAGCTATTAATAACAGAGAAAGACGGGGTCAGCCAATCGTTGACCGTGGTCGTGACTTCGCAAAGCGGGGTGACAAGGATACTGGTACTACCGGTACTAAAAGTACTGTATCCGGACAGCAGCTTCAATGTACTTCGAGCACCGGCCTTCAGTCCAGAAAAAAACAACAGCAACTCTGTCTACCTCGACGCCAACCACGGAGGTAGCATGTAGCTGCAGCCATATCAAACGCACGCGAGTTTTCGCGGTGCACTTATCCGCTGGTGTTACTGTAGCAGTGCTGCATCACTGCCGGCGGCAGTCTGCCGCACTGCAGCAACTGGTTCAGAGACAGGCGTGGACGCGGATCCCGGAATTTCGCCACCAAAATGAAACGCCAAGCGGAATAGCCGTCGATACATTTCACCATGAGTAACTAGCGTTAGCTCACACTAAGATAACAGCTTCGAGGCCGAGCACTCACACGGCGATGACCGAGTCGCCATCCACCTACAGCTTCAAGTTGGCTACCCACGCGTCTCCTGCCGCGGCGGGAATTGCCAACTACAGCTGGCCACTTGTCGCCGTCACGCGTTGTTGCTCGGAGCGCTGCAGATGGGAGCGAAGTCTGTAATAACTGATGCTTTCGTAACTAAATTAACCTCTTTAATATACCTGACGTTTCCACTTTACTCATTAAGTAATGCAACTTTTAATTCAATACCCTCCGTATTTCTAAGTATGATCTTAAATTCAGTTTGATCAATTATGACAGTATTCAACACTGGAGTGCAAATCGACAGTAGCACTCCGACGGTCACGGACTCGCTCCCTCTCTGCCAGTCCGGTTTCCTCTATTTCGCTGTCTCTGTGTCGATGTTTCGCAGGAACAACAGCTCAACGGGCGGCAAGAATGTCGGCGCGTCCTCCGGCGGCTCTGGCGGGTCGCGCGCCTTCGCCGAGCAGGTAGCGCGTCAATACGAAGTGCCGCGCGCCATGACCAAGGAGCGCGTTAAGGAGCTGGCGGCTATCGGCGAACGCCGTGCCAACCAGCTCATCCGCTGGATCACGGACGACGACCAGGGAGTAGCCGGCTCTGTTGCTGCCAATGCCGTGCTGCGCCAGCAAAAGGAGAACTTCACGGTCTACGAGATGCACGATACGCAGGACGAACTGCTGGTAATGAAGGGCGTCGTCCGTCTGCAAAACACCACGTGTGACGAGGTCCTCGCTCTACTCTCGGGTCGTACTGCTACCGAGGTCGACGCCTTCCTCCAGGACCTTTTGGGCGCCCAATACGCGGCCGGACAGGCTCTGCACTACACGGAGGTAAGCGCGGACGCTGGCAACGCACCCGAACCGGCACCCGAGCCAAACACGCCGGCCACGCCTCAAACCCCACGCGGATCCATGCCCACGTCGTCGTCTCTCATGGTCCAGTGGCTGGCGCTCAACGACGTACACCCACAGGCTCCGCTCCGAGAGTTCTTCTTCATGCGCTTTAACCAGTCTTTTAGCAACGGCAATGGAGGCAACAACCCGCTCGGAGGCGGCGCTTCGTACGGCGTGTCGATCATGGAGTCGCTCGAGCTGCCCCGATGCGGACCGATCTTCTCACAGACCCACATGCAACGCCAGCCGCTGCACAAGTGCGGCTTCGTTGTGGAGGCGTCCGAGGACAAGAGCTCGGTAACCACGCGAGTGTCGTTCTTCATCTCGGCCCCGTACCGTGCGCCGTCGCTAGAACAGGACCGCGCGTGGTTGCTGCGTCTTGCAGGGTGCGTGCGTCTTGTGCCCAGTGCTATCGTAAACCGCCGTATCCGTCGCAACCAGCTGCGTGATCGCCGGAGCTGGCACTTCCGCGATACGTGCTCCGTGTGCGGCGGCAACTTCTCCATGTTCACGCGTCGCGCGCACCACTGCCGTATCTGCGGTGCTGCGGTGTGCTCTAAGTGCTCTGCCATCCGCAAGGACACCCAGCGCTCCAAGTTTTCAGGTAGCACACGCGTGTGCATGGCATGCTTGAACGGCGATCAGAACGGAGCTCACGGAGCTACGAGCACGTACGAAAGTCGCAGTGGAGCTACTAGGTCGAGTGCCAGTGATGGAGCGACGTCGAGTCGTGGTAGTGACGGCGAGTGCTTCGGCAGTTCAGCGCACGTGACGCTCGAGGAAGCTCTTGCTGGCTTCACGATCGAGCCGACGCTGGCTGCAAACCTGCCTCAGAGTCCTAGCAACACGTCGAGTAGCGGGATCAGCCAGGGCGGAGAGGATGACGGCGACGTGTACGCCAACACGCCATTCGATTACGAATTGACGTTTACGAAGGGCAACCCGTGGCCGGATGCTCCGCTGACTTCGACAGAGAAGGAGCGTGTTCAGGTCATTCAGAGACTGAACCTGTCGCAGGATTTCGCCAACACCGTTCTCCGCGACTTGTTGGACTTGGCGCGTACGACCGTCAACTGTCCTGTGGCCGCTCTGTCTGTTGTGACGAAGTCGACCAGTTTGTTCGTGACTACTATTGGTCTTGTGGGTGACCAGGTGCCGCGTGATATTGGCGTAGATGCTCATGCTATTATGTCGCACGAGCCGCTGGTGGTGCTGGACTGTCGTAAGGATATCCGCTTTGCCAAGAATCCCGTCGCGCTGTCGATGCACGTGCAATTCTTTTTGGGTGTCCCCATTTACATGAAAGACACGGGCGTTGTGGTGGGCGCTATCTGTATCGCCGACACGAAGGCGCGCAAGAAAGTCAAGGGATCGGATCTGCGCGCGCTGCAGCTCATCGCTACGCGAATTATCGAGAAGATGGATGCGCAGAACAACGAGATGACCGAGAAGATTACGGAGGGAGTGCGGCTGTTGTAAGTTGCTAAATAGCTGGCCATTCCCCAAACAAAACGTTGTCTGATGCACAGTGCATCGATCTCGTTTTACATAGAACTCAGAAGTGCGGTTAATAGTCCATGTCTTGTTTCCAAAAGCTAGCATCATTCAACTACATACTGCTTCTCGTACTCAACACGTGCACAAGATTCATATCGCCATTCTACATGTACTGACCGCTGTTATTAGTAGCGCCGTTTGGCCTTCTTCTTCTTGCTCTTGGGAGCAAGTCGCCGCAGTCGGCGTTTCCTTCCAACATCATAATCCGATTCATCAGTGAGCTCTTCTTCCTCATCCTCGTCATCTTCGTCTTCTTCGCTTTCTGAAGAGCTGCTGGACCAGCTATCTTCGTCGTCCTCGGAGGCAGCGGCAGGTTTCTGACGAGCACGCTGTTTGCCAGGTGGCTTCGAGCTGGATGTCTTGTCCGTTGACCGTGCTGCTTTCTTGGTGGATGGATTCTTAAGTCCTTGGAGATTCACCTCCGCCGCGTCCAGCAGGAACTTAACGCAGTACTTCTGTAAATCCTCCACCAGTCCACCGATGAAGGAGTCCCAGCCATTGTACGTGATTGCATTCGAGAAAGCCAGTTCGACGTGAGCCTGTTAGAACAAAGCAAAGAGGGGTCAGTACGTTGCAGATAACATCGCATGTACTTGCTGCTACTCACGAAGTAGTCGCGGAAGCTCCTGTACCTGCACAGCTTGTCGTTTATCGTGCCAAAGTCCATTGGGCGAGGAATGATCTCCGAATACCGTGGGGCGACGTCATCCGTCACAGGTGTAGCAAAGATGTCCGACTCGTCGGCTTCCGTGAGAGCCTCGTGAAAAACCATGAGGACAGATCTCAAATCTTCCTTCCACGCACGCTCAATAAGTTCGCGATTTTTGATCGAGTATTTGTTCATGAGCGCTGAATACGTCAAGAGTTCTTGATCGGGATTTCTACGCTGTCGCTTTCGTGCAGAGCCTGCCCCAGTCGCTGACGGGGTCGTTACTACTCGAGGTGAGCGACGCGTACGAGGCGACAGAAGTTGCGGCTGTGGAGCCTCTCGTTTACGAAGCTGTCTGGGACTGTTGAACACAGCAGCATCCCCTTTATTACTAGGCGTAAGAACTTGACACACCGCGTCTGCAGTTGTTTCAGCTTGCTCTTCCACGACGTGATCCACCTTTTCTTCCGCTGCAACAGTATTCTCATTGCTACGTGTCCGACGACGAGATCTCCTAAGTGGCGAAGCCTCCTGTACATCATCAGTGGGAGCAGGACGAGCCACGGCAGGAGCAGCTTCAATCTGACTAGCTACAGGCGCAGCAGCGTTACTACTGCCATTCTCGGGTGCCGAGGTCAACAATTCAATTTCCAGCAGCGCCAACTGCGTTTCTTCCGGGTCTTCACTGAAATTCGTCAAGAAGTCGTCGGGAGGATACGAGAAGCTCATAGTGGCTTGCTCTCCATCAGCTTCTCGACGATTAGCATCACGCAAGAGATGCGGGAAGTGTCGTTGTGCTTGCGTCAAGACAGCTGAGACCAGGTTCCGCGAGTTTTGAGAGATCGCGCTGGACGGAATGTTGTAAGTCTCGCAGTTAATGCTCAATAACTTGACATCGGCTAAGAATGCCTCCACTTGGCGGTAATAGCCGAGCCGCAGCCTCTGTTGGATCTTTGTCAAATCTATCGAGTTGGCAATCGAAATCGGGTAGTCCATGAACGTTTCCTCGTCCACTGGATACATAAAGTCCCGGGAGATTGAGAGCGTCAATACCTGGTCCATTTCCTGTAAGAGCGCCTCACACTTTTCACCGATAATATATCGCGAGAAGAAAAGCCGCGTCGAACGTCGACGAAGAGAAAGCAGACGTTTCTCACGTTGCTCCTCTGCTGATGCTGCCTCGATCTCCCATGGACACACAGCGAAAGTCTCGTCGTCTGGAGCATCCCAGTTAATCTTGACGCACTCCCACGGCGTAATTTCCCCCAAGCTACTTGTTGCCAATGGTTCCCGAAGGATGCTCTGAACCGTTCCATACGACATCTTCGCTTCTTCTTCCAGACCATGATCATTAAGCTGCACAAATGGCATCTGAACACGATCTCCGACACGCCAACTGCCACAAACACCACTCTCGTAGATGTGATCAAGCACAAGGAAGTTCGCAACGTCGTTCGAGTGGTACAGGATCTTGAAATTGAAGCGTGTGGACGGCTCACTTGCTGCAGGAGTCAGCTGCTCATCAACGCTCGTGAATTCTGCAAATGGGGACGACTCCGGATTGAATAGATCCACAGTATCCGAAGCCACATCTTCCTTCGTCTCCTCTTCTTGTTTCTGCTCCTCGTTATCCCCGGTGGGACGTACAGCAGATGTTGGCACAGCAAGCACAGCGAGCGATAGTTCACACTTGATTGTACTGCATCTCACGTGCTCTTCCGCAGTGGGAAAAACATATTTTACATCCACGACACGACACTTAACAGCATAGAACCTCGACAGCCGCTCATAATATCTCGGATGCGGCATTCCTCCGAAGCGTAGATATCCAGGATGTCCTTCCGGTAGGTACACCACATAGTCACCAACTTGCGGAACATACTGATGGATTGACCGCAGACTGACCAGTTGCAACCATTCGCGGTGGAATTTAAGACCAAAGCGCTTGGAAGCAGGCTCGGTGATCGCTCCTCCGTCTTCTGCAGTGCTTTGGCGGGCTTCCTCGTGTCGATTTCGTTGCGCAGGTCGCGATTGGTGATCTGGACAGAAGAAATGCATCTGATCCACCGACCAGCCCAAGTTAATCGCACACTTCCAGTGATATGAGTTACGACACGCACTGATTGTACAGCCAATTGTTGCTCCACGTTTAGTGCACGCAACGCAGTTTAAGGAGCGCCCGCGACGGATCTCTCTGGTCACGTTATACCAGTTCCCATCACGATTGAAACACAGCGGAGATGCAATCGCACATTGATCGTGCACAAAAACCCTCTGAACTCCAAAAATCAACGGATGGGTGCCCAGACCGTCTCCAGGTAGTTTAAGCATCCCGTCGTCATCTCCAACGCCACAAAAAGCACACGGGATCAGCGCCTCGTCAGTGTTTTCGGCTGGAATTGGTGCTGCTCCAAGCTGAGCTCGTTTCGCTTCAAGCATTTGAGTGTACGTCATGCTTTGATCGAATCGATCGAGCTGATTGTCGCCCATGATGATGCCATCATTCGACTCCACCACGACTTCACCACGGTCGTTACGATTACGAGCTTCCCTCTCACCCCCAGCATCACTTCGCTGATCCCCAGGAGTATCCCCACCTTCCTCTTCTGCGTCGCTATCCAAAACCAGTCTCGACCGTCTGGCCGCATTTCTTCGGGTCCGCAATTGACGAGGCGTGTCTTCTTGCTCTCCTTCACTGTCGGACTGTAATCTCCGGCCTCCTCGGGCTGGCGTGCTACGAAGTCGTCTCCGTCTAGAGTTGGCTGGAGATATCACAGTCTCCTCATTATCGCTAAGCAGATCATCTTCGTCCAGATCAAGTTCGTCCTCGTCTTCATCTTCTTCGTCCTCTTCGTCCTCAGCAGCATGACGCGGTGTTGGGACCTGAAAGTCTTCGTCGCTTCGATCGTCCTCACTGGAAATTTCAATCTCGAGCACTGAAGTGTCTCGCTCTTCTGCAGGTCTTTGACGTCGCCGCCGGGGGTCTGCGTGTCTCCTGGATCCAGAACTCCGACGCCGCAGCTCTGATATCATCACTGGGGCGCCACTTAGTCTGTAAGAAGCTCTAGCTAGCGCCATAGCGTCAGCAGCATAGCTTGCATGTCCCTGCGAAGACTTCTTGTCCTCATTCTTCACAATTGCAAGAGGGAACGACTGGATATCTTCCTCACTTTCAGGCAAGTGACGCACTCCACACTGGATTTCTGATTCTTTGCTCTGCTGGATCCGCAGTCGTCGATTTTCCGCGTACTCCTTCGGAGTGAGCAATTGGTTGGGCAACCGATGCGGTGGCTGGTGTGGATACTGAACCAAAGAGGCATCCATCAGGGGACCAGAGTCCATCAAACTCGGTAATTCTTGAGTCTCCCGGTCGCGCACGTTGTAGTGACTATCGGTGACTAGCATGACATAATCATGCAAGAAGTATTGCTGCACTGGAGTCGTCGCGTACTGCTCCCCTGATCCTGTACCAAAGATAAGCAGCCGACCGATTTGATCCGTGAAGCAAAAGCCACTGCCATCCGGTGTAAAGCCACCATCGAGGTTGGAAAGAGGCTTTGAATCCGACGACAAATTCGTGAACGACTTGAGCATTCGACCCGACGAGATATCCCACAAGAACACCCGGCCATCATACCCTGCTGTAACCACGATACGCCAATCGGTCGGGTGTGTGCTCAGCGCAAACGCTGCATTCACGTGCCCGTTCTTCTTCTCCTTGTCGATCGCACCTAGCGTCATTAACAGCTTGCCGCTTTCCGGATCCCACACTCGTATCCTTTGTTCCCAGGTTAAATCTGCGGACTCGGAGTTAAGTTTGACGCTGTGAAGAGTGATGAGTCGCTTGTCGTCATGCGTCCATGCCACCATATCCACAACCGGAGTGGGCTTCTTCCGACCGCGGACTCCGTACATAGCAGAGATGTCGTCGTACTCTGCTGACGACTCGTTCGCCAATAGAACAGTGCCGAACAAGCTCTTGTACTTGCGCTTCCACTTCCAAATCCGCGCCGCGCTGTCCTTGATGGACGCAGTTACAATCCGGTCACCCCGATGGTTGTATGCAATGCTCGACACTGGGCCTTTATGCCCCTTCAGCAATGCAATGGGCTCAATGCTAGGCACATCGTCGTCAGACAGAGACAAAGACGGAAGATCGTTCTGCACCTGTGGAGGCTGTGTTGGTCGTGGTGCCGCCTCGCGCTGCAACTCCTCCGCAACTGTAGGCAAAGGCACATCGGCACCATTCTGAAGTTGATTTGGTACTTGCGGTGGCAGTGGAAGCAGCAACGGTGCTTGAAGTTGTAGTGGCGGTTGATCAGGAATCAGAGGCTGTAGTAGTGGTTGACCAAGAGCTGGAAGCTGCGCTAGGGGTAGCAATGGTGGTTGGCCAGAACCTAGAGGCTGTGTTGGTGGCACCACAGCTCGGAAAGGCTGACCCATGGCAGGTGCGGCCACGTCATTAGTCTGACTAACGGGTTGCTGTCCCAGAGGGGTTTGAAAGCTTCCAGGTGCTGGATTATAGAACTGAGCCACAGGAGCAGGGATGAGGGGGATCGTCACGGGAGGAAGTTGAGGTCCATCACCGCCTGGTTGCTGCTCCGGCAATCTCGCTTCCTGCGGTTCATCTGTTGGTTGATATCGTGGCACAACGGCAGGCGCATCGGGAGCTGAAGCCATCGATAAATCCCACACACGCGCAGTTCCATCGTGACCCCCAGAGGCCACAAAATCTCCACATCGACTAAACGTGACGCAGTGCACTTTGCACGACCGCACTCCCTCTCGACGAGCGTGTTTCATGGCGTAAATGGGATGCAAACTCAACATGTAGGCATTCAGCGCATACAATCTCCGAGCAGTCTCGATTTTTGTTTCCGGCTGCTCCACGAGCGGGATCTCCGGCACTTTGTAACAGAAACAACGTCCGTCGTCCGAGGCTGTGACGATAATATTCTTCTTCGGGTGGAAGCGTACTGCATTCACGACACTAGAATGCCCCACGAGGACTGCGACTGGAGCGCCCGTACTAATTTCCCACACTCGAACAGTTTTATCATCGGACGACGAGGCTAGCAGCGTATTTGAGTGATTTACCGCCAGATCCGTGATATTCCCGACGTGTCCTCGCAGCGTAAACAGTAAATCCCCCGTCCGTAGCGACCAGATCTTCACTAACCTGCAGCGTTTTCAAGTAACGAATCAGTCGCTCGCATCAATACTTTCCATCGGATAGTAACAAGATTCCCTACCTATCATCAGATCCAGTAATGACCACTTTGCCCAGCTTATCGTACGCTAGACAGTACGCCTGGATCTGTAAGTGTCCGCTGAGTGTTTTCAGCCGCCGGATCCTGCTGTACACGTACGCAGGAGGAAGCTGAGTGTCATGCCGCCAGCTGATCTCTCTGCGTCGTAGCAGCGAAGCCTGATTGCGTCCTGTGCGCACCGTAGTCTGAAACAATCCCGACAGTTTGGCACGCTGCATCAACGTTTCAACCTGTTTCTCCAGTTCTGCTCGCTCCTGGCGCAACTGGAAAAGCTGCTTCAACGCTCGCACATCTGCAGCCAGCGTCGTCACTTTATCCGTCTCTGAGTCCGTCTTCACGTCTCCTGTCATCATCAATTGCAACTCCGGGGGCAGCTCCTCCACTCCATTCGCTGTCATGTACTTGTGATACCTCTCGTACTTCCTAATCACCTTCTCCACAACCCTCAGTGTCTTCAGTACAGCTCGCACCTTCAATAGCTGATTGACAATGTCTTTAGCGAGTTTCTTCCGCTCTTCAACCGACAACTGGAGCTGCGTCTTCACTCTCGATCGGAGTAATAAACTGCAGTTCTCCTTAATTGGCGCGTCCTTGACTTTATCGTCCACCTCCTTTTTCCCATTAAGTCTCGGAAAAGACGCCGATGCGCCCTGTAGCAGCTGCACCAAGTGACCAGACGAGATGTCGCGATGCCGCAGTCGGTAGTCCTCATACGTGGCCGCTCGTGGCTTTCCTGTCCAGTCCACGCCGCTCTTGAGTAGCTGGTGTTCAGACAATTCCTGGATCAACACGTCAGCGGCCTTGTGGCATGCTGAGCGGCGCTTAAGGAAGTCCGCGATGAGGAAGTAAACCTCGCTCTCGTCCACTAGTGGCGGTGCGCGCTCCTGTTCACTATCTGCCGGATCCCCACTCTTGTGTTCTTCTAATGACTGTTCAGCAGCAGGACCAGCAGTCTCCGACACTTGAGGAGCAGCGATGGCTGGAAGCTCCTCTCGAGCGCTGGGGGCATCGTTGCCCAGCCAAATGGCAGCAAGCGTGTCGTCGTCTGCAGCTGCGAAATGCGCGTCTGCGTTGCGCTCCGGGCTATGTGGTACTGGGTCGTCCGCCATGCCGTGCGCAGTAACTAGGGGGTACACAGCCGTCCAGCAAGCCCGCGTAGCTCACAATAACCTTCAGGGTCGTCCCGCGCTTTTTGCTAGTTAGACTCTTCAGTAACCCGGAAAGGGGTACATTCGTACTTAAAAGTGTAAGGGATACACTATATGACGAGTGTAGCCACTTCTGCGATGCTACGTGTTCAAGGTCATCATGAGGAAGACGTCGAGGACTTGGAGAGACAGCAGTTCGCTAGTGAGCAGGAGCAGGAGCCGGAGGCCGACACATCACTGCGTCAGACAGATGAGGAATTTCTATGGATGCTGCTGCTGGCAGCAGTGTCTGAGTGCGTAACCACGTGCTTCATGCCGGATTACACTTTGCGTTCTTGGGGACTGAACTTAGGAGGCACTGCGTTAAACTGGATCGGACCTTTCCTGGATGGCTTGACTTACGGATATGAAGAACGAATCAAAGGTGCAGACGTATCACTGGCTTGTGTGCAGTTCCGGTCGGCATTTTTAGGGTACGAGACGGAGGCAGAAGATTAAGAGAGACGTTGCTGATTGCGTTGTGCTGGCTACAGGGTTTTTACGTCTTATTCGTTCATGGCCGACCACGCCGGAGACTTGAGTGGCAGTAGCTTTGCTGCGGGGCCAGTCTACGTTTGCGCTTCGATTCTGGGAGGCTGCGGCTGTTTTTACTTGGGCAAACAAGCGGTTGCTGTGATGTGGACAAACCCGATAACTGTTAGGGTGAGTCAGGCGGTGAACAGGATGGAGAACAAACCGTCCTTAGTGACCATTTCAGTGGCTTTTGTGGGAGTTACAACGCTGATAGCAGCGCTAGGACCGCATGGATTTGTGCGGTACGTGCGGAGAAATTATGTGCTGGTGGCTAATGGAGGTCTGACTGTTGCTACCGTGAAAAATACAGCGACCCAAACGACCCGCAGTTTATTGGACCACTGCAAGTAGCGGATGGGGAGGAGTTGGTACTTGGTATCTTGATGTCATGCAGTGCAGTGCTGCTGTCGAACTACGTCTGCGCATTTTTCCCGCTGGAGCCGCCACAACTTCGCTATGCTGCATCGTCTAATGGCGGACCGTTTATCGATTGGGGTTGTCTTTGTTGTAATTTTTTAGCTAGTGTTCTAGCAGGGTCGGCATATCAGTTGAGTCGAATATCACCCACGGAGTTGACGAACAATCTCCTCACACTGAAGTTTGTAAGCTCGTTTTGCGGATCGCTATCAGTTTTCTCTGGTGCAGTTAGTATTGTCTCGGTAAGTAAAGTCGATATAGTGAAACTCACACGCTTCTGGCTGACACTCGTGAATTTTGTTTACAGCGGCTTTGGCTGGCTGGTAATCGATATTCAGCTCTGTGGAACCTAGCTTTACAGCTACTTGTCGGGCTCCTCGTTATGCCATATCTGTACAAGCACGATGCCATTTAACCATAGAGATTGCTACAATATTGGTGTAATGCACGACCATTTGCAGCTGAACTCTGGTGGAGTCTAATGTGTTGGTTTTGGTGAGCAGAAAAAAATGATTTTTATGGGGAACGACATGCACGGAAAACATTAAGTGACTGGGTACTATACTACCCAGTGGGTAGCACATGCTGACGGGTGAAACAATTGATACAGTACCGGGAAAGGTATGTCATTCATTTGCCGTGCACACGAAGTTGACGAATAGCGTTTATTCATGCTAATGATGTAATTGACGACGATACCTTTCGCTGCTTGATTGGGGGACGACTTGTGACGGGCGGTGCATACCCGATCCATCACCATGATACACGTGAGCCAGGCCGAAAGGGTCCGATTAGCGAATTGCTTTATCGGCAACTACAGTCCCGGTGAAATTATGGTAATTGATTGCTGCGGAGCGAGCGCGGCAACCAGCTCTCTGCTACGGTAGTAGATTCGAGCGCCATCTTGATCAAGGTTAAATTTCATTCCAAGTTTTACCTTGCTGGTCGAACACAAGAGCCAAGCTTTGACCCCTAAGACTGTCATGGCTCCGGCGCCAACCAAGAACGTATACGACCTGGAGCGCTTGTCGGCAGTGAGTGTGAGCATCAACAAGGACCCTGGCCAAGATGGATACACGAGTGCCAAAACTCCCGATGGTAACACTGTAGAGCTCGAAGGTGGCGCACTGCGTCCGGGAGGCATGCCAGTGTTAACTAACAAAGACACTATCGGCCTACTATTCCAGTACGCTGCTGTCGGAGTTGTGTACGGTATGCTTCCCGAGACGATCTACCCGTTCATGCAGGAGTACCTCAATTGCAGTGGCGCGCAAGTTGCTGCTGCCAAAGAGCTCGTGGTGCTTCCCTGGAGTTTCAAGGTGTTTTTCGGCATCATTTCCGATTGTTTCCCCATCTACGGGTACCGCCGTCGTCCGTACATGCTCATCGGGTGGACGGTGTGCATTATCATGCGTCTGGTCATGGCTATCATACCAATTGGCAAGCCGTACTACACCGTCGCTTCCGACCGTGATATCGACACTGCGGATTATACCCCTGACATCGAGGCGCGCATTAACTATGATGCCCCTAGTGAAGGTGCTAAGTACGTGATCATCATGTTCTTCGCCGCAGTAGGGTACGTCTTCTCGGATGTCTGCTCAGATAGTATAGTGTGCGAACTGGCTCAACGGGAACCCATTGCCTTGCGAGGGAAAACTCAATCAGCCATTTACGCAGTGCGTTATGTCGTCGTGATCCTCGGTGAACTACTTGTAGGGTTCTGCTTTAATGGAGAGGAATACGGTGGAGACTTCGATTTCTCTCTGAGTTTCCCCCAACTCATGATCATCATGACGGTGTTAACTGTACCGGCACTCCCTATCACGTGGTTCTTCATCAAAGAAGAGAAAAGGGAACGCGCTGACTTCCGCAAGTACATCAACGAGTTCTGGGATTTGTTGTGCACGCGTGTTGTCTACCAAATCATCGCGTACCATTTCTTTGCCGGCATTTTCTCGAGTATTTCATACACGGCAAGCTCGCCCGTGCAGTCGTACATGGTGGATGTGACGCCCATTAACAGCACGCTGAACGATGTTCTCGGTCACGTGTGCTTCTTGATCGGCATTATGGTAACTTCCAAGTACGGACTCCACTGGAACTGGCGAGGAATGATCGTTTGGACGGGGCTTGTCGTTATCATAGTCGACTGCGCTGTTGCTCTTATCACCGTTTGGGATGTGTTTCGCAGCCAGTGGTTCTGGCTTGGCCCTCCGATTGCAGTACAGATCCCCAGCGGTGTAGCTTGGATCATCGCACTGTTCGTGACGGTCGAGATTGCGGGTGTGGGCAATGAAGGCGCGGTGTATGGTCTTGTGACGACGGTAGGCAACTTGGCATCTCCCTTTGCAACAACGCTTACTCTTCTCATCGATGGGCCGTTCAACATCACCAACACACGCGTACTAGCCGACGACCACTCTGTCCGTATGGACATCACGTACACGATCATCATCTCGTACGTCATGACCATATTCTCGTGGGTCTTCTTATTCCTATTGCCCAAACAGAAGGAGGACACGCAAGAACTCGCACGCACAGGCGGGTCCAAGGTGGCTTGACCACCGCCTACCTATCGTTCTCACTAGTCTGGTCCGTTACCGTCAATACACTTCGTGTCTGGCGGCACCGGATGCTAATAATGGAGCGATGGTGTTTGGTCCATCGGTGCCACACCAATTTCTAAAGAGATCACCTCTTTCCACAAATGAGTACGTTTATGTATCCACATCATATTCTATTCTGTCACATATGAATTAGTACAGGCTTCGCGCTGACTGGCGCGAATTCTTTCACTCATACATTCTCCCCATCAGTCTCAAGTCAAGTAGTAATTCCTAACAGTCATGTCAGGCACGCGTGTTTACGTCGGCAACCTGCCCATGGATATCCGCACGCGCGAGGTGGAGGACATTTTCTACAAATACGGGCGCATCCGCGACATTGACGTCAAGTTCCCATCTCGCCCCCCGGCCTTCGCTTTCGTGGACTTCGAGGACGCTCGGGACGCCGAGGACGCTATCCGAGGCCGTGACGGCTACGACTACGACGGCGCGCGACTACGTGTCGAGGCTGCAAACGGTGGCCGCCGCGAGTCGGCCCGTGATTCTGCGCGCGGGTCGGCCCGCTACCCGCGCAACATCCGCGGCAATGGTGAGTTTACCGTGGAAGTATCGAACCTGCCCCCACGGGTGTCGTGGCAGGACCTCAAGGACTTTATGCGCAAAGCCGGTGATGTGACCTTCACGGAAGTAGACGGACGCGGAGGCGGCGTCGTCGAGTACAGCAACAAGCGCGACATGAAGTACGCGGTGGAGAAGCTGGACGACACGGAATTCCGCGGCCGCAGTGAGAACTCGTACGTGCGTGTGCGCCAGACAGGAGGACGTGACCGCAGCAAAAGCCGCAGCCGCAGTAGATCGCGCAGCAGATCGCGTAGTCAAAGCGCGCGTCGCTCCAGTAAGAAACGCAGCCGTAGTCGCAGCGAGGACGCAGAGGGCGAGAAGAAGGCCAAGCGCAGCGCATCGGCGGACAAGGAACCCGAGAAGGAGAAGGAGGGAGATGACTTGAAGCAGGAAGACGGTAAGGACAAGAACGTGGCTAGTGCTAGTGAGAAGAATAACGACGAGCAGAACGCGGAGATGGAAGAACTCAAGGAGGAGCTCAAGACGGAACGGGAGCCTAAAAAGGAAGAGGAGCCAGCTGCTGAACCGGAGAAGGAAGCACCTAAGGAGGAGTAGAGCGGCGCAGCGGACGAGGAACGGACGGAAAGCTAAGCGACGCCGACACAGTTTGAGAACACAACCGAACGGACTCGAGGGACGAGTATTCACCGCGGGACAGCCTTGGACTTGCCTAGGGCGTGTGCGTGTGTGAGTCTGGTTGCTGCTGCCATAGTCGGTGTTCTCTTACCGTGTGCCTTGTGTGCCCCCTGTTCTTGTTTGTTTCACATCGCCCGAGACCATGTGCATTGTGAGTTTGATTTTTCAACATTGTTCGACTGGCTGATGGACGACCTGGATTTCGGTTCGGAGCGTTGGCGATCTCGACTGCGCGCGCGTTGCAGGACACCTCAGCGGACAGCGTAGCAAAGGACGACGGCGGCTGCGGATTGGATGGAGTCTTGGAGAAGGAGGTAGTGATAGAGCTTGGTGCTCCCTTAGCCGGTTGAGCGATACGTAAGAGAATCAAACTGTTTTTGCAGCTTATAAAGTGCTATACAAGTTTCTTTAATCGTATCCAAGCACAATGGGGAGCTGGATTGGTGACTTCGTGCGTGCCACGTCCTCGAGACCCTCGCCGTTGTACGACAAAGACGGCAGAATCTCGCAGATGGCGTCCGATGTGTTGTCCACGAAGGTCGCTCCTGCTTTCAGCAGCCAGCGCTTGCATTGCTCTGATATGAGTTGGCGTGCAGTGTCGGGCGAGTCCGAGACGCTCCCAGGCGCGTTCTTGACAGGAGCGAACTCATCTTCACGAGCCACACCCAGCACCTTCATGCTGTTGGACAGTGGGAAGACGTCGAAGATGAAAGTCTCCAGCTTGATGCCCGTGTTGCTCGTTGGAGTGACCGTTGCTGTGCCTTCGTCATTCACGTACGGAATCTTCTTCTTGGCCACGTGGTACACAGCATCGTTCTGGTTGCAGCAGCGCTGAAGGAAGTCGAGACGGAAGAAATGGTTGCAAATGTTGGCGGCACCGAAGCTGAGCTTGCCTGTCGTAGGGTCCACCTGCTCTGATGCAGCACGGTCAAGCTCTGAATATTCCACCACGCAGTAAGCTCCATTGCGCTTGGCCACGACACCCACACTCTCATTGGGGCGAGTCTTCCACACCACTTTGTTCGCGCAGTCGGCGTCCTGATCAATGCAGTAGCCGATAAACACCGGATCGGCAACTTTGCAAAGCACATTATCCACCGAAAATACGTGCAGATACTGCACGTTGCGTGCGCTCAGAAGATCAAGCATCCCACTTCGCTTTAAAGCTGGGTAGATACCACCGTTGCCGTCGGAAGCATTTGCCAGCTGACTCGCTGTCTCGAGAATAAATTTGCCGTCGTTTGTGAAGCACGGTAGTGTACCCTGACAGAAGAAGCGAAGCTGATCCTGTGAGAGACCAAAGTACTTGTTGTCACGGAAGAAGGATACTGTGGTGGCGTGATTCATCTTGCTGGTCATGATAAGCAACGGAATCACAGGGGACTCGCTCAGGTTGAAGCGAGTCTGTGCCAGCGCCTGTACTTTGCGAACTCGCAGCGCGAAAATCTCAAAGAGGGACTTCCCAGACGGAAGACAGATATCATACATGCCCTTGGGACCGGCGAAGCCGAGACGCGTACCTTGCCCCCCACTGAGCACCAAAGCGCCAGCCATGCCTTTTGAAACAGCCTCGAGACCCAGATCGAGCCATTTCTCCTTCAACTCTGGCGCAGTCTCACTCAACTGGTGCACCACTCCTTCTTCTAGCGGTGTTACCTCGTCAGCTGCTGCATCTGCCACGCTGTTAGCCTTGGTAGATCGATTGAATAGGGCCGCAACCTGGTGGGGGTCATAATGCTGGAGATTTTCGACCAGTTCATTTGCATCCTGCGCGGTGACTTTGCCGGCGTCGACAAACCGGAAGACATGGCCCTGACCTGCTTCTTCATACGTCTTTCGAAGCGAAGCTGGGATGGAGCCAGCGTTTGCAGTCAAGTTGGTGCTCTCCATCTCGCGAGGAAGTCCTGGTAGTACTATGGTGGATCCGGGCGGCTTGGCACTTTCTAGAACGTTTAGACTAATAGGAATGGCGTTATCGCAACCATAAATACAACACCACGACACGAATTTTGGCAACTTTAGAGCGAAACGCAACCACAACGGGGCATGCACTCGGTATTATATTTTAATTTACCCAAGACCACGTGGCCTTCGTCGATAGGTTTGTCTAAATTTAGAGGTTCTAGACTGATGTGAGCCACATGTACATTATGTGGGACACAAGTATTCGCACACTTTGGGACTTCTCGATTTGCTGGAAGACGCTATGTGTAACGGGGTACGTAGCACTAAGTGTACCCTGGTTACATGAAGTGTGACACTTCACACTTCAGGAGTATGACATGTCATACTCCGGGATATTTGGTACAAGGTACCAAGGTCATTCAAAACCAACCATTGGTTAAATGACATTGCATTTCTATAGGTAACTGATAGTTTGTATTAACCACAAACTTAACCTACCTATAAATATACTCAGTTTACAATCTACCTTATTTAGGTCACTTCGCTCTCTTTAATTAAAGAGGGGACCTGTGAACTGCCGTTCACTGAGAGTTTGTATACTCTCGGAAGATAACTTCCTCTAGCGCAAGGTGCTGTGTGACCCCGTCACACTTGGTAGCACTTGTAGTCAATCCACGCCATCGCGGGTAGACTACCTGAACCTCCGAAGTTCGTTGCCATGGATAGGAACGACTTCTCCCATATGAACGACTCTCAGTTCGAGTCGGTTCGGAAGATGGCAGGCATCTTCGGGATGGAGGCCCTGCAGAGCCTGGTGGTATCAACACCGGCTGAGCAGCTCGAGCGCGTCAATGCATTCGACGCGTACGAGCAGGGCCTCATCGCGCATGTGCGGGAGAACCTGCAGGCTCCGGCGGCGGAAGCAAACCCGCCTCACCCGAAGCCAATACGGCTGAAGGTAAAGCCGTATGAAGGGAAGGAAGGCGAGAACCTTCACTTCTGGGTCCGAGAAGTAGAGCTCGCGATGGACGCGGCTCTGATCTCGACCGAGCAACTGCGTGTTGCTTTTGCACTCTCCAACCTTAGCGGTCGTGCTAAGAGTTGGGTGTACACTCGGGAAGCGACATCCCCTGGATGTTGCACATCCTGGGCTCAGCTGTGCGAACAGCTCCGAGCCGCGTTCCTCCCGGCGAACTACGAGTACCGCCAGCGTTCGCGCTTCCTCGCGTGTAAACAAGGAAGACGCGAACTGCACGAGTATGTGCAAGAGATACGGGAGCTCACGGCGTCCCTAGTGGGAAACCCACTCAATGAACACATCAAGATGACTGTGTTCATGGACGGCCTTCGAGTGGGCCCCGCACGCACTCAGCTGTTCCGGGTGCAGGCAAGAACCCTTGAAGAGGCGATTCAAGTGGCTCTTCAAGAAGAATACAGCCATCGCCAGGCGCGTACGCCGGCCTCAGCGTGGCCTGGGAGTTCCTTGTCGGCTCCCGGTCGAACAAGCCCCAACGGACCAGTTCCCATGGAACTCGGGTTCGCCGAACAGCGTGACATCCGCTGCTTCGGCTGTGGGAGATGGCCACTTCAGCGCGACTGTCCCGCGAAAGACTCCGTAGAACGGTCCTTCCCCAA